CGGTTGTGCATCCTGTTGGAGACCGGTACATGAATTTGGCACAAGCACAGCCATTTCCTTTGCTGAGGCTCACTGAGGCAGGATTGTCTACATCGGACACTCCGTCTTCAGTGCTGCTCAGTCATTTTGAGTCTGATAAAATCTCAGGCTCAGAGTCTCTGAGCTCTCTACTCAGCCACTGCACATGTTACACAAACAGCCGCAGCAAGCAAGGACTTATACCGTGGGTGGGCTGAGCCTGATGGGGGATGCTGAGGGACTAGCTCTAGTTCCCCATCAACTCCTCTCTGCTTCTGATTGACAGCAGGCAGTGGGTGGATTCCATAGCCAACAGGAGGCTGGCTATTGGCTATAGAATTCTCCTGCTGCCTATGTTCTATCAAAGTTTGTGACTGTGTTAGAATGTGTGACCGGTGACATGGTCACACATTTTAATGTAATCCCGCCCAGCTTTTCGGCGGTGGAATGTGTAACTGGTCACGTGGTCACATATTTTAACGTAATCCTGCCCAGTTTTTCAGCGGTGGAATATGTGACCGGCAAAAGAAGAAGAATTCTAACGCTTTCCCAGCTGTTCCAGGGCAGATCGGCATCGCAGATCCTATGTGCAGGAGAACCAATCTGCCCTGGAACAGCTGATCGGTCCTGAAATGCCACTTCTATCTGACTTTGTGAGTGCGATCTCGCATTCCACAGAGTCCGATAGAAGTGACATTTCAGGACCAATAAGCTGTTCCAGGGCAGATTGGTTCTCCTGCACATACGATCTGCCCTGGAACAGCTGGGAACGCGAATTCTTCTCCTTTTGCCAGTCACATATTCCACCGCCGAAAAACTGGGCGTGATTATGTTAAAATGTGTGACCATGTGACCGGTCACACATTCCAACCCAGTCACAATCTTTGATAGAACACCTGCTATCAATTAGTAGCAGAGCGGACCTGATGGGGAACTAGTACCTCAGCATTCCCATCAGGCTCCTCTCACCTGTAGTGTCACTGGTTGCTAAGAGGCTGTGCCGCCAAACTAATCTTTACAAGTGACTCAGCCCTGTCCCCATGATGTCAACCAGCATGCTCCACCCCTTTGTTCATTCAGCTGCCAGTTGGGTAATTTCCCGGCCCCATGGGGACGGGTCCTTGACACCCTGAACTCGCAGAAAGTGGGCCAATTCTGTATTGTTGCCATGGTTGCAGGAAAATTAATTCTATACTACTTTTTTTTTTTTTTTTTTTTGGGGGGAAGCATTATAAAAGTTAACTACAGAATGGCTTGTAATTCCAAAATTAGTAAAGTTGAAAAGAGACAAAGGTTCATCAGGTTCAGCCCCTGTACAGGGCTGAGTTATAAATCTTCCTATGCTCCTCGGCTGATCTAATGGCGGGAATGCCATGCAAATAGCATTCGCCTGGCATATAGCTGGGCAGGAGTTTTATAATAAAAAAGCCCCTATTTGTCTGAGAAACAACCTCGACAAGCATAGATCAATCTGCTGTTGTAAACCAACAAAGATGTCCTGGAGCTTTCTAGTGTAGCAGTTCTTTATTTTGGCGTATTAAAGGGAATCGCACAATTTGAATATTACATAACAAATAACAGGTATACATCCTGACATATGCTGTGCTGCAGAATACAACATTTAGCTGTTGCTGAAGAATCAATCACTTGGGATTTTAGGAAGAATTCATCTGTAGGATAATGTTCTCCATCAGAATGATAACTTTCTCCTAATTATCTTCACTTGTAATGAACTGCTTAGCTGTGTGTATGCGAGTGTCATTAATAGCTTGTTTTATGGGCCAAGACATGATTACATTTGCAGACCCTTTAATATAGAGATCAAGTTATTTAGTAGAGAAACATGCAAGTATGATTGGGTTCAAGGAGGAGGGGGGTCTGGGTACTCTAATCATGACAATTATGCTGGGCCATGTTGACGTCCATTCCCTGTATTGTTGCAGATATGTCACCTGACTATTTAGGACTGTTGGCTCAATTCCTAAAGCTACGTAAATGGCCTTTATTTTCAGTAATGGGAGCTAAAAATACAAATCACATGGTGCAAATAAAGAACATTATGGCACATGCGTTATGGCTTAGTGAATTGATGCAAAGGTGAAGAATTTATATCTGTTTGACCTAATTAAGATAATGTCCCTTTATTATCGAGCAAGCTTCCTAATAGCTGCGAAGGCATGGGGGAACGTTCCTATTATAGATTTTATGAATACAGCATGTCTCCGGAGAGAAGGATGCCTGTCAGATGTGGTAATTAGCACAGTGTTAGCATTAATTTAGGAAACAACTACAGCAAAATCGCTCTCACCAGCTGGGACTCCGTAATACTGGGCCTTTATATATGTACAAAAGTGCTGATCACACTTCCGCTAATGGATTCATTTACTTGAAACTAATATTTTTGTTTGTGGGTGGATGCTTACTGGTTCTGTGTATTTCACAGTGCCTGGCTTTCATCACCTTGGCCTAGGATGTCTCACTTCTCCTGTTGTATTCTCTGTAAGATGAAGTAAATTAAGGCTAGGTTCACACCTAAGCGTCTGAGCTGGTGAGCTGTTTTCGTGCGGCTGTTGCGCGTTTATGTTCGCATGATTTTGCTTTGAAAACGGCGCAGTTTTCAATGCATAGAGATGTTTATGGAACACAAACCGTGCGACAACTACCCAAAAATCGCGCCTGCACCTTTTTGTACGACAGGCGATTTCTACCGCGCGACAAATCGCAAAGGTGCGAACAGCTTCCATAGACATGAATGCAAATCTCTGTTTTGTGCGATATCGCGCGGCTAAATCCACGCAATAAATCGCCTAGGTGTGAACCTAGCCTCATATGCCAAACGAGTAGAGTGAAGCCCTCTTGTTGTGGTTGGTGGCCGATCTGTGAACTTCATTTGAGAAGTCATGGCACATTTTGCTTATATAAGTCAGCAGGTGTTTTTGTTTTTTGAGGGTTTTTTTTTTTAAAGGGGAACGCCAAACTTTTAAAAAACCTTCTGGAATAAAATGGAAGTTAGATGTCCACATTGCTAAAAAAACAAAAATGAAGTCTGTGATGAGAGAATTTTTTTGGTTGCCATTGCTAGGCTAGTGCTGGGATTGCTTGTGTCCTGGCTACTACTGGCATCACTACTTTGAATAATTGACCTGGAAGACCAGAAAATCAGAGGAGAGCCAGAAATCCTTATCCACTGGACACTTGTTGTAGGTCAGAGGACAAGCGGGTTAGCATGACAGCCAGGCAGCTAGGATTTTCAGAAAGAGGGCAGTGATGATGGCCTTTATGCTTCTCTTATAGCAGGTTTTCTTTACTAGTGATTAGGAGGTAGGTACCTGCCATGAAGATTTGTGGCAGGTAAGTTGATTGACGGCAGTGATGCTGTGCATTGGGTTCACTTCCGTTCCCAACGCTCATTTGAGCTACATATCCCAGTGTACCATAAGGCTTGCATTACTGAGGAGTTTGAGCTTCTTCCCTCACTTATTACTGGACACTGCTGGGAAATCCAAAGGTTGCATCTCCTGCACTTTGATGCGTAGGCCGTTTATACTTTACAAGTTGTGACATCAAACAGGTTGCAGGTATTGGGCTATTTAACATGAGTATTGCGTGGATACGGTGTCAGTCATGTGCTCAGGATGGCCGGGGGGTGCTAAACAGGGACAACTGGAACACAAAAATAAATTTTAGCTATATTCTCATTATTGACTTCCTGGCTGTTAAGCAGAGGGGAGCGAGGCTGAAGGGACAAGGCTAGGAGCCAGCCAGGATAACGGTTCGATGAATATATCTCTTTTAGCTCCATAGACACATACAAGCACTTAATCCTCGCAGTTCGGGAGGTAGCTTCACTGCAAATGTTAAGATTTTATTTGCTCGGTGTTCCTCTTTAACCCTTTTATTCAAAATGGAAATATCACTTTTGGGTAAACTGATGATTTATTATTACTGCATCTTACTGGTTTTACATTTTTTTTTATTTTTTATTATCTTTCCTGTACTTGTTCCCCACTATGTCAGTGCATTGATCTCTTAATGAATGTATGTCTTTTGGAGCGTTCACAGTTGAAGAGTTCCCATCGCATTTGTCCACTGGGGTCAGCCATATCTCTGGGCTATACTGTTATTTGACTGCAACCTTCACAAATCCTTGTGGCCAACATAACAAGACCTATGAGGCATTGATTCTCTAATGGATTGTCTTTCATATTGGTGCAGCCTCCCAAATAGCAGCACTTTAGTGCGACACCATTGTCAGCTCAGCAGATGATATTTAAGACCCTGACCTGTTTTTCTCTCAACTAAAATGTGTGAAATGGCATGCTTTTCTAATTAGCATGTTGACACCCTTTAATGAATGACTGTAACCATTGGCCAATTATATATCCGGGCATGTCTTTATAATCGATAAGTTGGCCACATTTTTTTTTTTTCGATTAGTCGGATTAAAAAAAAAAAAATATCTTTTTAATTTGAAATAAAATACACCAAAAGAAAAGTCTGTGTCTGTCCCCTCTGATCCCCACTGCTCCCAGCACGGAGGAGAGAGCGAGTGGGTCCTGATCCACTAATCGATAATGAGAATAGTTGACAACAATTTTCATTATTGATAATTAATTGGTTGCATCCCTAATTTATAGGCTCCAAAACACAGTCTTAAGATTTACATGACCTGGTTTCTTTTGTTAAGAGGGAATTTTGGTGGCCAATGGATACATTGTGGTTATTGATCTAGCAGTTAAACTGTATTTTGTGCCCCGTTCCTCTCTGACCACAACACCTCATTTTTTCTCTCCCGTTCATTGAAGGACACAGGCAACAGATCGTAGATCCTGAATGGTAGGTAATATCGCCACCTGCAGGAGAAGGACAAGTGTTCCCAATATCCCACAATCCTATCTCACAGTTATATAGGAGACAGAGAAGGCTGAGGTCTGTATGAGCAGGACTGTGCCACCATTATAGTTGTTCTTCTAGGTCACAATACAGGATATCCTGTGATTTCACTTTACAGTGGAATGTTCTCAACTGGATGAAGTGGTGAGAACGCAGCAAGTGGTTACTGGCTGCTTATTGTTTTGTCTGGATCACTGAGTGGAGTACACGTCTGGCATGGATACGAAGTGAATGGAATGTGAACTTGTTTTCCAGAACACTGTAATTATTTTGGAGTGGACGAGAAGTTGGGTCCAGTCGCTGTGAGTCTGAAAAGAGACAAATTGGAAGAAAGCAAGGATCATGGACCACAATACCAGTACCGAATCATCTTCAGAACCAGTGAGGTAATGAGACTTTTTGAGGTTTTTGGTGTCAGATTCGAAGAAGTTGTTATTATAGCAAAGTTAAAGCTGAGATCTAGGCAAATGGCTAAATACATTGATGGAATACATATACGGGTGTCGCTTTGCCTGCCAAAAGATTTGTATTTCTGTCCATCCAGTTCTGAGCTTTAGACACCCTCATGTATGGCACAACCCTGTCTGGACGTGAAGGAGACCTGGTTTTTCTTTGCTTTAGGCCTTGTTCACAGCAAATGCAGACCAGATCCGGTCAGGTTTCTGCACACGCAGTGTAGTGGGTTGTGCCGCGTTTTGGATGCGTTTAGGGCCGGTTTTGGTTAAAAAAAAAAAAATTAAGTTTAACATGGACTTTCAGGCACTTGCATACGTTTTTGATGCGTTTTTGAGTTTTAGATGTGTTTTTAATGCGTTCCAGACCAGATCCGGAGCAGGTAAAATAGGGCTTGCCGCATTTTTTTCATCCGGTCTGGATCTGGTCTGGATCCGCACGCTGCGATGTGAACTGGTGGTCAAAATACCATAGGAATACATTGGATTCAGTTTTGATCCGGTCTGCACCTGCTCTGGTTCGGATCTGCTCCGCGCGTGGTGTGAACAAGGCCTTAGTTAAATAATACAACTAGGATGTGTCCCTTCCCCAGCCTGTGACTGAACAGTAAAGGAGAAACAGCAGACTGATGAGCTCATCCGTCTGTCAGTCTGCTTTCTCCTCTTATCAGCACATTGCTCGTTAGGACATGGGCACAACAGCGCATTTGATTGGCTGTCACTCCCAGTCAGAGCTCTGCTGTACATGGAATTCATGTACAGCAACTTATTGGTTCAGGCAACTTATTGGTTCAGCACAGGCTTATTATAATGACACTTTCTTTTTGCTACGGAGTCAGCAATCGCCAAGGCATCAAAAAAAGATTTTGAATGTTGAAATATTTTCATATATAGTAATGGAGAGCTTTGCTTGTTCATCCTTGCTTTCACTCGAGATTCTAATTGTTGTAAGTGGTGCTTAAATGAAATGTCTTGCATGCAGCAAGCAAGGTTGTGTGTGGCTAACATCGCTCATCACAACATTAAAATATGTCCATTATTCTATCAATGGCTTATAACTAGTTGCTTCCTTTGATGTTATTGTTTAAAAGAATGTCATTGGAGCATTACTGAGTACATCTAATGGTGGCGGACATTCTTCCCCTGAAACATCATGTCTTCCCTTGTAATTTGTCTCTTTACCTGGATCTTTCTGCAGTGGGTGTTCCATCTATAACTGCCTAAATCTGAACTCCAGGTGTCCATTACTTTGCATACTTACATTGGTCCAGTTTGGCCCAATGCAAGTATGCATATGCCATACCTGATCGGCTGCTGGGGATCCTGTAAAGCAGTGTAGTAGCCGGAGCTACTATAATGCTGGCCACGATCTTCTAGGTCCTGGTACTGCGCTGTGCTGAGCAGCTTCCCTTCTGATCTAAAACAAAGGGGGTCACTCGCTCAGCACAACAACCATTCAGAGAATGCCTAGTATTATTATCAATGAATACAAGACGTCCTCTGATTGGACGAGGGGCAAACTGTAACACCACCACCACTCGTCCAGTCAGAGAACCCCCTACACTGCAACTATGCATGTTTTCAGTAGAGAATATTTGACCACAGAAGAGCGTCCTAACTGAAAAGTATGGCTCCATTCACACTGTCAGGTTTATTCACTAAAGGGTGAAGAGTTTGGTGAAGACAGGAGAAGGGAACAATCTAGGACAACATAGCTGAACTGGAAATTGATCTGAATTGGAGAATTTCTCCAAATCAGCTATGTTGTCCTAGATTGGTCACTTCTCCTGCTTTCTCCAAACTCTTCACCCTTTTGTGAATAAACCTGTAAAAGTAGTTTGGGCCTTACCACTGATTTATCGGGTTTACATGCCAGATTACCTTCATCTCTGTTTTATCAGTTGAGATGAGTAGAATGTCACACAGAAACATTTCCCATCTCCGTTCTTTGCCGCGTGATCACCATTTTCTTTAGGTTCTCTGAAATATTTGTAATGCCTAATACACAGGGGGTTTGCCCCAGAGTCCTTGTGTAAGTGTTCTTATTATGCAGAAATCTTATTTCATGTATGGCCATTTTGTTAGCTTTGCTTGTAGCTGTGCAGCCTGAATGTCTAATGCCTGTGATTTCCCATATCTCTTTTCTTTATAGTTGGTAACCCTGAGAGGAATGATCCACGAGGATGCTGTGCCAACCACAGCTAAACAGGGTACAGTCCGTGGACTGCCTCTGAAGGATGTCCTGGAGGCTGTCATTCCAGAGCTTAGTATACACAGTCTTCGCTTGGCCTTGAATTCTTCCAAAGTGACCGAGCAGCTTCTGAAACTGGATGAACAGGGGGTGAGGATAGCAGAGGGGTTCTTTTATCATTGTTTGTGGGCTGTGGTTAGAATGCTGAACTGTTTATTGAGCGATGGTAAATGATGAAAACTATAAATGGTGGATGAAATGGTGTGCTTGTGGGAAGAAGCTATAGTGTTTAATACTGACGGTATTTTCCCCCTTAATACAGAGATTTTGTCTACTCGCATAGTCATCTGTATTTCAGGTAATGCAGTAAACAGCCTTAGTTAGCAACTGCTGAGTAAAGAATGCTATAGATTTGTCCTGAGGAGAACAGTAAAGCACACTATGCTGCACAGCTAAGCAGGAAGCACTATCTGCTTTGTGATTAAGCCAGTTTGACTTTTCCAATATGCATATATAATTACAAACTGTAAAGAAAAGGAAGGTTCTGTTGTCAGCAATTGATGGATAGATTCCCAATGGATTCTCCTGTTCGATTTTTTTCTTCAATCAAAACTCTTCTGTACATCACTGCTGGAAGTTTCCCCTCAAATAGTCCGCTATCCAGCATGGTTGTTCTCCGTCTGGCTTTTGAACCGAATTTCATCTGAACGCTGCTGGACTGGACATTGTGTAGCTAGCCTGACAGTGATATTGGGAATTGGGCTCTGCATGGGACTCTTTCTAAAATGAGTTCTAGTTAAAGTGTGTGTCAAGCCAAAAACTTTCTAAGTCTTGCATAGAGTGGGGAGGATGTTCAGATTCCAGTGCCGATACTTGGCATTTTTACGAGAACTACCAGGGTTGCATCGGTTGCAGCTGGGACCTGGCCCTCCACCACTGGACCGGCTCTTCACCAAAATATTAGTCCGTTACAGAAATTGTCACATGACAATATGCAAACGTGCATCAGTAATTGTATCTGTGAGGACTTGGGCAAGTACTTGTACATGTTCTGGAAAAAATGGTATTGCTGCATCCCTAATATATATAACAAATCATAGATTAAAACGGATACACATATTCCAGGAGCCCCGTAGCAAATGCTCCTTAACCTGCCTCCTAACTTTTTAGTTTTTCTCTAGTCTAGTCTTGGACCTGGAAAAGTATTTGTACTTGTACCTGTACCGAGTACGGTACTTGGTATAATTATAACCCATGTCAGGTTTTTACTGGTGTTTCGTTAGAGAGATTCCCACTCCCACTCACCTCCTGCCTGCTGACAACGTTTTCACTGGACAGGAAGTGAGGGGGAAATATGCAAAAGGAACACAGATAGCAATAAAGAGCTGACGGAAGTTCTAGCCTTCCCTACTCTACTAAAGAAAATCATTTTTATTTCTGGCTCTGTTACTGTTAGAGGGTTTTCCTGACATCCTGTCTGGTAACATGTCAGCGGGACAAAAAAGTAAGTGTGAATATCTGTAAATATATCAGTAAAAACTGACTGGGGGTCCTAAACCTTCCCTACTTTAATCCAAAGCGAAGAAAAAAGGTTTTAGCTGGACATTAGGGCTGCAGCTAACGATTATTTTCATAATCGATTAGTTGGCCGATTATTAAGTTTGGTTAATCGGATAAAAAACGCAAACAGCTTAATGGGCGTGGCGTGAGCGGGGAAATTTGAATTTTAGCTGACAAATCGACGATGGAAAACGTTGACAACGTTTTCCATCGTCAATTTTAATTGAATAATTGTTGCAGCTCTAGTGAACAGGTGCTAGTCCTTTCCTATGTGAACAGGGAGGAAAGTGCTAACATACACATTAGGTTATCTGCGGAGTGCTTTCCAGGTTCAGGGCCACTGGCATTGCCTGTGTGCTTGCCCTATCTCAGAAGATCAACTTAGTAAGTAGGCAGGTCAGGCTGAACATCGTGAATTTTTGTTATGAACTTCTTTTTTTTCTTGTATCCATTTTGGTGCGGAATGTGTTAAGAAGTGGTCAGTTGATCTGGCCATATATACCCTTCTATTCTGGTGGAGGATGCACCTGCTTTTAAGGGCTCACACGATAAGTGCTACAAGGCCTCTGCACTACCAGTTCATGGCCTTACCATTCATCCTATAGTTTTTGTTTTTTTTTGTCAATGTCCAATCCTCCTGTAGGCGGCAGTATAACCCGAAGGTTTAGTACTTCTGTGTTCCTTAATGGACTCTAAGACAAAGATTTTACATTGAGTACAAAAATTCTATTTTTGAAATATCACACGCAAGCTATATTTTATGTTATTTTAGTAATGCTGTTGGGAGATAGAGAGCAATTAGCAGAACATAAGAGGGTTATTTATGTACAAGAACCTTCTATCCGCTGGCATCTTTGTCTTGTAGACAGCTATGACATGTCATGTATTAAAATATGTGAAGATGCAACTTCTTATGTACCTGGGGATATACACAGGTTCTCATGTCAATCAGTAAGAAACCTTTGACATGAACCTATGACTTGGAATACAGTATGTTGAAGAGGGCTGACCTGGGGCGGAACTAAAGTCTAGGGGTTTACACAGCACTTGTAATATAGGGACTATGTCATCAGAGAATCTGGAAGGCTGCCATTGCTTAACTCTCCTTTTGAGGATGTTAGTTCCCTAAATGTCATGCTGAATCGTTTTAATCGTTAATGGGGTTTTTTTTTGACCTGGAACAAGTAAACGAGTCTGTGACTCAAAAGGACTCTTTAGGAAGCCAGCAGTGGCAGACCATGTACTTCCCTCATGTTACTTTATAGAAAAACAGGTATGGGCACTAGTAAGACTCTAAATCTTGGCTCCTAAGTTGCTTTAATTGTGCAGCCTTCTCTCCCCGTCAGTGCAAAGATGTCATCCAGTATCGGGATGTAAAGGCCGCCATAGAGACTGACCTGTCCTCTGCCCAGGCCTGATAACTGACGCTCTGTAAGGGTAAAACTCAATTAACAAAGCGTTTCCTTTTTTCATATTGTAGTTAAAGAATGTTGATTATGACAGTTTTTGGAGTTTCTCTTATCAGGTTTAGGCAGGAGATAGGATGACTTTACATCCCGACGCTCACCCTGAGAACGCTGCACTGTTATAACAGTTAAAGAGTGACGTTTCAGATTATTAGAGATGTAATTTGGTGACTGGCTCTCTTTAAAGCTGAACTCCAGCTTTACCTTCAGTCTTGCAGAGTTGTACAGGTTCCTGTACTAAAATGGTTGCTCTGACATTCCTTCACATTGTGAGCTTCTCAGTGTGCATTAGAAGCTGCAGTCAGATAGAACCCACCTCATTTCCTGGCTGGAGGACATTTAGCATAATCTAGCTTTTTCCTCCTCAGCCTGACTGGCAATGGCTGACCCCTCTTATTAATTGGATTTTAGTTCTTTTAATTATGACGGGTGGGCATTACCTAGGGTGGGCTGCATTCAAATGTATCCTCCTTCAGAAAGCCCACTCCTCCAGAGTGACACTCGTTCATCAACATTTTTAATATTCATAACTCTTTCCAATTGCCAGCCCACAGCTTGCATCAGGCCCGAGGGTTCCTCAGAGGTGTACTGAGGCAGGGGGCTGTAATGCTTTCAGGAAGCTATGTACAGCACTGTGGTAGCCCCTCTCACCAGCCATGATCCGCCTGCATTGCATAGAGAAGAATAGAGCCCCAGTGATGACATAACTGGATCTAAAATAAAGTAATGAAAAGAGAAATCTTTTATATATGTATTTAGCATGTTGCTGAAGGTGGGGGGAGGCGGAACCAGGGAAGCAATAAATGAACAGATTAAACTTCAGTTTTAGGGTACACTAAGTGAATGTGCTGATTTTGGTGCACTTGATTGCATTGGTATTGATTACGTGTTCACTTGTTTACAATCGTTTTTTTGTTTTTTTTTAAATCATAATGCGAATATGCACTTTATTTAATAAGTTATTCATTTGTGTTTCTCATTGCAGTGCATAAAACATTGTCAGCATGTTGGGTTCTTGTAGATGAAGACAAATCCTGTTTCCAGCAGCATGGCTTGGCTTTGTGTTTGCATCCATCTTTGCTGACCCTGGCCACCACTAGAGGGTGATGGACTAAAGACCTGCTCTGCACTGAGCCGGAAAAGCTACCTGGCTTGCTGGAGCAGGTTTTTTAGAGCAGAACGTTCTCAGAGCCAAGAGGCTGCAGGCACCATTGCGCAAAAACAGAATTGTTCTTCATAAAAGAAAACATATCATATGAGATGGACTGATAACACATCACAGTTTCAGCTTTATCTATTACTAAAAGTCATATACTGCTCAAACTGACTTGTAAGCAACCCTGACGGCTAGCTCATAACTAGTCTGACTGTCAATGTTGCACTTGGCCCATCAGACTGTGATTGTATTATAGATCTGCCGAATACATCTGTGCAGTCTTGCATGTGTGTGTGTGTGGCCTATAGGTTGGAAGTATCAGTATTACATGAAATGCTTCCTGGTTGTATGCGTTCTGATGGGTATTTCTGACTCCAGCTCTTCAGGAAACACAAGGTGGGCATCCTCTACTGCAAAGCCGGCCAGAGCTCAGAGGAGGAGATGTATAACAATGAAAGTGCTGGACCAGCCTTTGAGGAATTTCTGACCTTGTTGGGGGAAAAGGTCTGTCTGAGAGGCTTCCAGAAGTATGCTGCCCAGCTGGACACCAAAAGTGAGTAGTAAGCAGGAGTATAGTTTACATTTCAAGGGGCCTTACCCAGATGTCTTCTGTGTCAGGTATTTGTACGTAACAAAAGTCACCAGCACTCGAGAAGTATAGGTACGTGCTTATACTTGCACGTATCCTCGAGTGCTGGTGACTTTTGTTATGGACTGTTTCTGACACGGCACCATCCGTGTTGTCACTTCAAGCACCAAGTTCCTGTATGCTGTATGGAGTGTGGGTGACTTCTTGATATTTGAAGGTATTTGTACGTGTCTTGTTTGGATTTTTTAAAATTTGTACCTTTTTATGTTGTGCACAACACTCCATAATACGGTGGTTCTTTATTTACTCAGAATAAGAAGATGATAAAGTAGAAATATTTATAGTAAGACATAAGCATTATTGAAGTCACCTAGCTTGTTGCTTTTCCTGCATACTAATCTTTTTGAAGTGAGAAATACAATTTAGCTCCCAGATGTCAGGCATAAGATAAGTACTGGTTCATTGATCATTTTTCCAATCACTTTACAGAGGAAAAGAAGATATGTCAATAGCTGATGTAAAGACGACTTGTTTAAATACATAAATGCAAAGTGTGTTTTTAGTTCAGTTCCATTATTGTCAACATGAACTAATAAAAGCGTGCTACACGAATACAAAACAATACGGAGATGGCTGGCTGAATAGGAACATGGCGAAGTAGACTTGTGTACGGAATGAGTTAAAAACTTAAAGTGCATCTAAATCCCTAGCTGAATGCCAGTATTCCAACGCACTGTGCATCATAAACAGTTTCCATGGTTTTTGTTCATCGATACTGTTTTTTTGTTTTTCTTTTGTACCTTTTTTCTTATCAATTTTTGCTATTCATGCTGCTGATCTCTTTCAGCTGCTTCCTGTCTACATGTGCTTCCCCCAGTCTCAGCTCCACATCATTTCTCTGGACTGGCTTCCTGATAGGCACAACAATGGACCATGTCTGTATAATTTCTCCTGGACATAAATAGATATTGGAAGCCAAACAGGTTTACTTGACCAATAGTAAAAATCACCCCCAAAAGCTTACATACACACAGAGTCAAATGTGCAATGAACACTTTGATTGCTTTTCAGCAAGTGCCACAAGAATGAATCACTGTGTGGAGCACTTTTACCCATGTTTACATGGGGGGCTTTTGACAGAAGCTGAAGGAGGATATCCGGCCATGGTCCGTGTGGCCTCATTCATCAATGTTTAGAGTATGCACAAGAGATGTGATCCTCATACGGTTAATGTGTCACCTACTAAAGAAGTTGTACGCAGTTGTCTGGAAAGACAAAGTAACATGTTTTATCTGAGCGTGTTAGTGTTCAGGATAATGTCACAGTGTACTATTCAGTTGTGTTTGGGCTCTGTACTGTTGAATAACTCTCCACCCATTTTTTTTTTTTTTTTACTTTGTGCAACCTCTATACATCTAATCAACTGCTCCCTGCAAAAGTGTAAAATTTGAGGGGGGAAAAAAGAAATCCAAACTGCTGATTTACCCTTCCTGATTTTCTTTTTTGGCAAAGGCAACATCAATTCGAAATCGGCCTGCTTTGCAAGGCTGTGATCTCGTCACCCAGTTGACAGATTCACTTTAAGCAGAGGCACATTTTTTGCAACGCTGCTCTAGGCTTGCCAAATGCAATGTGAAGCAGTGCAACATTGCAACATGATAATTTTTACACCTAATAAGATATACAGAGGTATATATCTGGCCTAAAGAGGGATAGTATTTGAGTAATGAGGGCTTGAGTCCAAAAGAGGAGCAGTCCCTTCAGAAGTGAGACACTGGGAAGTATTGCTGCTGTTGTCCAGTTTTATGTCCTTGGTGGTTTTTGTTGGTCTACATGACATACAGCTTTCTTGAACTCAATACTAAATTCATCATATCTCATCCACCATTCATCATCCACCATCCACCGTGCTTTATATGCTGCCATACTCACCAACCTTGTGCTAATGAAGACCAGAGACTTAAGAAACTGCTGCCCGTGGCTCAGAGCCCTGGTTCACCAAAGGCAATGCGATGCTAAAAACTCAGAACTGAATCTCAGTGGGTGGGACATTCATTTCAAATTGTGCCATGCAAAATGATATTCTCCTAGAAGTGCTTTCTCCTTTTGTTGTGGGTTCTTTGCATACCTTTCGTTATGTGCTTTGCCTAAAATCTCCCTGTCTGTCCTCTATGCTCTAGTCCCTCTAAAATGCTAATTATTCAGAAACCTATTGTTTCTTTTTTTTCTAGCGGATTCCACTGGATCACACTCATTATATACCAACTACCAGGACTACGAAATTATGTTCCATGTGTCTACCATGTTGCCATACACCCCAAACAACAGACAGCAGGTATGTCCCACCATGGTAAGGGAGCTGGAGCTCCAGGATACAGCATATCCTTTATGGAAGCACAGCACAGTGCAGTGGATAAACACTTGTGATCAGTAACCAACATGCAGTTCACCCAAGAGCTTTTCATGAAGATGGTTTTATGTGTGTGAGCCTGCCAGTCATGCAGAGGTTTTATAAGATGATTATCTTGTCTTACAGAAAATATCATTTATGAAGTGTGACATCTAAGAGTCTTTAAATGCTGATATTTAAAATGCGTCACTTTTTTTATGCATGTAATTTTTATTAAGGTTTTGAAGCATATACATATGAAAAAGACATCTCAGTAAAAAGGACCTCTTAGTAACCCGAAACAAATCCAACTTAGGAATGGTGACCGCACAGAAGTGGAGGAGATACGCGGGGGTGACCGTTTCCGGCAACCCTATGATCCTAAGGTTATTCCGCCTAGATCTATTTTCTAGATCATCCACCTTTTCCATGAGGAGATGAATAGAGTGGTTATGATTTTCCAGGGACCGCTACGTGCCGTGCATCGAGTCCTCCAGATCACTGACCCGCTGCTCTGCCGTCTGCAGGCGGTGGCCATGAGTCTCTATTGTTTGCTGGAGGGGGCCTAACTGCTGCTGTATTGCCTCCGTTATAATGGCTTTCATGTCAGCCTTGAGATAGGCAGCAACAGCCGCCGCTATATTTTGATGTTCCATCTGGAGAGGCACAGTGGGAGAGAGCTCACCTTCTGCAGCGTCGCCAGGCGATGTCTGCATGTCATCTGCCTCCGCCATCTTGGGAATCTCAGAGCCGTCGCTGGAAGGAGGTAAGATGGCCCTTCTCGTCGGCTGCGGGCGAGAAACGAATCTGTCCATGCGGGTAGATGCTTCGGTCCGGTGTTCCGATAGCTTCTGAGCAGTAGGGGAGAGCTGAGCGGTGCACTCGATAATTGTACGGGACGGAGCGATGTTGCACACGACTAGCTCATTGGGCGCCGGAACCGGAAGTCAAAATGCGTCACTTTAAAAAATAAATATTACGCACATCTCTTCAATACATTGCACATTTCCTAAAGTTTAATCCCTGTAAAAATGATGTAACTGCAGCAAAATACCCTTTGCTCTACCAAAAATCCAGTATGTGCCTAAATTCATGTTCCAGCTGACGACACGTTGCCTTTGCTGCACTCAAATCCTTATTAGTGTTGTCAGCCCTGCCTGCTGGATTACCGAAACTCTGCCTATCCCCACCCCACTCTGTCTCTTCCAACAATCATCCATTAATTTCTTTTCCCACCAAGGCAGTACTTCTACCCTTGCCTCCCAAGTGTTTACCACACACTGTGTGTAGGAGGCACTGGGTAGAGATAGGTCTTGGAAGTGTGTACAATAATAGGAACTGAGCTCCCAGCAGCTGCCCCTGCAAGACTTTTACAAGCCTCGTGATAATGTCACAGGCAGGGATAAAAGCTACTGCAACAAGTTCCAAGAAAAAAATAATTATGATACATGCTCTAGTGTGGTAGAGGAAGGTTTGGGGTTAAATATGGGTAAGTCCTGGACATACACTTTAAGGTCCTGTCAGACTGTGGAGTCTCTTGCCTGAAACCACTGCAGGTCTTGATTTGTCATTTTCTCTGGCGGTCATCAGCTAACTGGGGAATTTTTATGCTATAATTCTCAATTACAAAATCTCTTATGAAAAGCTTTGGATTGACCCTGCTCTAAAAGGGTGTTTTTAATGGGCAATTACTAAGTCTTTCCTGCCTCTCTTAAAGTAGATGTTTGATCAGCTTAAAGGAGGAATTGCGAGGAATTGCTTTTATCTTGGCTCATTCCGTCATTAGTGTACCGTCGCTTAGCCGGCTGTAGTCACAGGGACCCATTTGTGAACTTTATGCCCAAGGACCTCTGTGTATATAAAATGTAACATTTCTAATGTCTATATACAGAATGTGCAAAGGAGGTGTATAGCGGCACATGGGAACTTTGTGTGTCGGTATTCTTTTGTTTACTACAGCTCCACAGAAGAGCTTGTTCTGAGCAAATTGAATGCTTTAAACGTATCATCTGAATTCCTTATTAGAAGCCTAGTTGGGCTCCACCTGAATAAGGCCGTTTTCGTATACCATGTGCATACTGTCTGTAGATCCTTGTCTTATTACTCAAACAACAGGTTGGGTTTCCCTTGTGCATAGTGTCATCCAATATTTTACATTTACATAAGTATATATGGCAGGGATGTACTGATACTACGCGTACTCGCCCAAATGTTCAGATGCCTAGCCCTATACTTCCGGTATCAGGAAGCTGGGCAGCGAGTCATTACACGCTGACCGGCTTCCTGATTTGCCTGCAAGCCGGCTCCATGCTCACTCGTCACTTGTGACGAGAGAGCATGGAGCCGGCATTCCGGTCAATCAGGAAGCCGGTCAGCGTGTAATGACTCATTGCCCGGCTTCCTGATTGGTCGGGAAGCTGCCCAATCAGGAAGCCGGGCGCCGTGCAATTACGCAACGCCCGGCTTTCTGATTGGCCGGGAAGCCGACTTCATGCCCCCTCGTCACCTCGTGACGAGGGAGCCAGCTTCCTGGCCAATCAGGAAGCCGGGCGCTGCGTCATTACACAGCGCTCGGCTGCCCGATTGGCCAAAAAGCCGGCTCCATGCTTTCTCATCACATAGTGACGGCTTCCCTGCTAATCGGGAAAGCTGGGTGGCAAGTCATTACACGCCGCCTGGCTTCCTTAATGGAACTTCCGGTATCAGTATTCGGTATCCGCGAGTACTTAAAAAAAAATATCGGTACTCGATAACGAAATACCGGTATCGGTGCATCCCTAATATATGGAATTTGCATATATATCTCTATAGTTTTTAATTTATTACAGGTATTTGTATAGCACTGACAATTTACACAGCGCTTTACATAGTTGCACATTCACACCAGTCCATGCCCTCAAGGAGCTTACAATCTTACACACATACAGGGCCAATTTAGACAGGAGCCAATTAACCTTCCAGCATGTCTTTGGAGTGTGGGAGGAAACCCACGCAAGTACAGGGAGAACATGCAAACACCTTGCAGTACAATTTATTAGAAAATGCAGCAGACTCCAGAACATGTCATCATATTACAATACAGCAATAAAGCAATAACGTAATACCTTGTATTATTGTACAGCTATTGTTGCTTATCCGTAACCCATATGTTGATGCCTTTCTCAAACAACTAGAAAAATCAACATATATTTAAATATTACTCCAGCAAAGGTTTAGACTGGGGACATGGTTTAGAACCCCTGTCAAGTTTTTATTGTTATTTGGGGCTCCATTAAAATGATATCGCCCCTCATACTGTTGTGGTAATGGTTTCTCCAGACAGGAAGTAAGGGAAATCTGCAACAGCAATACAGACAGAAATAAGCTGATGGGGGCCCAACTTTCACCTACACAACAACAACAAAAAAGATAAAATAAATCCATTGTGTTGCTGTTGCAGATTTTATTTCTCACTTCCTGTCTGGTGAAACTAATGACTGATTACCTGACCAAGTGTGGGGCAATATCTCTAACAGAGTGCCAGAAATCAGGACAAAAGCAGATAGCTGTTCTAATTTTTCCTCCTTTCTATCCAAAATCTTTGGCTGGAAATACAATTAAATTATAACATCTGAGTTGCTCTAAATTGCTTGAGGGATTATGTGTTTTATATTGCCAATTAGAGTTACTGCCTTTCACAAATGACCTGCAACTGGAGCTGACTGACTTTGATGTAGCATACTGACTTGGCTGACCTGTGTATATAGTGTTTTACTGCAGTTAGGGTCAGCAGCAGTTTTAATGCTCTCGTTTTCTGTAATTTTGATAGTAGTTGTAACCTTCATATCTCTTTGTCTGCTCTTCTCTCATTCCAGCTTCTTAGGAAAAGACACATAGGAAATGACATTGTGACCATCATCTTCCAGGAGCCTGGTGCTTTACCCTTTACTCCTCAGAATATTCGCTCACACTTCCAGCATGTCTTCATCATTATTCGAGCCCATGAGCCTTGCACTGATAATGTCTGCTACAGGTTCGTTTTTTTTCTCCACCTCTTGCTTCCTTAGACCTCTAGGTAGTTAAAAGGTAAAGGTTCCAAGTCTGGATGGATTTAGGTTTTAGTGGTGTCGCAAAATTCCTCTCCCTTCCTATTTCTCTGTTTCAGGGGTTCACTCCAATATAAGTTTTCAACTCGCCCCTTTAATTACCGAGTTCTGTGGCTGATTAAAGCACTAAAGTCTCAATCTGTGTAACCACAGAATTTTTTAATGCAGTTGTTTCAGAAAGACTCGGTTCCAAATAGTTCAAGAGCCTTACCTTTTATAGGTTTTCTCTAATGAATAAACAACACTGAATTCATTGTTTCACTAAGTAGAATCTTTGTCTGTTTGAAAATCTGGGCCTGTGTGCATCCCTCAGTGTAAAATACACCTTTTAATAAGAGAAATAGACTGGCCTCCTGAAAATGATAGATTCCAGGTTCTGTCTGTTATTGATGCTTTTGGAGCAGAGACTGGGAACAAGCACTCGGCAAATAAAAGTCCAAAATAATTACAGAATTTCTTATCTGTATTTTTGTTCTGGTTTATTGACTCAAAAAGCATTGAGGCCAAGGCATTACACTAGCATTTTCAGAAGGTGAGGTCCACAGTGATATCCCACATTTTTAGGTGTTCCGGAAGCTCCACTGCTTTTGCTCTCTGTATGTAGGCAGGTCATGGAGCAGCATAGTTGAGATACCCTAATCCGTACCCTATGTGACTTGATTGCAGAAGATCATTTTAGGTCACTTTACCAGTTCAGTGAAAGTTTTTTACGCGGTTACCGGGGATGGGTTCTCTTATGGATTTTGGGCCCTTTGGCAGTTTAGACTTTATTGTTTCAAAACAGTAGGGTGTAAGCTGTAATTTGGTCTTAACAGCTAAGGATGCATTTACAATGAATGTACATGTTTGGATTTAAATATCCAGTGATCAGCTAGTACTGGGGTATATGACCACAGGAGTGTGCATGGAAGTATCCACTGACCTTTGCCCATTCATGTGCAGGTTCATGTTCACTGTATGTGCGCTGCAACCAAGCTGATTATAGCTGTGATTACAGTAATGGGAATTACAGTAATGGGAACAGACCCAATCCTGGCTAATGATTGAAGCAACATGGCTGAAGCCCTGCTCTGTTATAAAGAAAAATAAATGTTCTCCCTTTGCCCTCTTACGGAGAGACTGACTACTCTAATGTGCTTGAGCACTTTGTAGCAGATGCAAAAGACCGAAAAAACATTTTGATCAAAATTATATTAATGATTATAAAGAAGTTATCATCTACATGCCCGTATTGGTAGTAATATGGAGAGGCAGAATGCTGGTTATGTATTTGGCATTCTAGCTTTGCAGTGCTATAATGTGATTCTGTGTTCCTTTGCATCCAGGGTCACTAGTCTCCTGAGGTTTCTATGTTCACTCTTTGTTTTGTTTGGTTTCCATCCAAATGCCAAAAACATTCATGTGGTATGACTGACTTCCTAAAAATGTGGTCTGTTTGTGTGTATTACTGTGGGGGTATTAGATTATAAGCTTTGTTGGATGCAGTGACCTGAATGGCTTTAAGTGCAAAATAATTTGTTGGTGCCATGCATGTGATTAAAATAAAATGAATATTACCATATTCTGTCACTGTGGCCTGTTTAGTACTCATGCTTGTTCCCAACAGAGTGGCTGTAACAAGATCCAAAGATGTCCCTCCTTTTGGACCTCCAATCCCCAATGGTGTCACTTTCCGGAAATCTGATGTGTTCCGTGACTTTCTTCTGGCCAAAGTCATTAATGCAGAGAATGCAGCACACAAGTCAGACAAATTCCACACGATGGCCACTCGCACAAGGCAGGAATATCTTAAGGACTTAGCTGAGAACTATGTCACCAATACGTCTATTGATACCACAGGCAAGTTTAACCTCATCTCCCTGACGTCAAAGAAGAAGGAGAGGACCAGAGCACGGGCTGGTGCGGAGATGAACAGTACTGGTGCTCTGTGCTGGCGGGTCATGACTCAGGACTTCTCCCAGGCAGCTGAGACAGAATGCATTTTAGGCATCTCAAATGAGTTCATGGTCTTAATAGAGACTGCAACAAAGGAAGTGGTTTTCAATTGTTACTGTGCTGATGTAATTGGCTGGACACCAGAACCGCTTTCTCTCAAGATCTTTTATGGTCGTGGTGACCATATACTTATAAGGACACTGGATAGTAATGGAGAAGATATCCGGGAGACTGTTCAGAGGTTAAAGGTCAGTAAACCTTTATTAGGGCATCACTCTTTTAGGGCATTTATGGGAAAATTGGAGCAAAGGAAATATACCGGCGGTACCGGTAACAGCCAGTTGAATTTTTAAATGTAATTTTCTAACCTCTACTAGTAAATTATACGTAGAATCTCATGTGAAAAATGCTTCTATTTTGCACACATTTGATCATAAAAAATCAGGGTAACATTTTCTGTAATTTATTCTGAGAATGCCTGCTTTGTTGATTATTAGTGTTAGATGAGGCTTAAAGGTAGGGGAAGGAGTTGGGTAGGTATCTGCCGGTTATGCTCTCTAGCAGTCCAAAGAACAGGCTGGAGATGGGACAGTGGCACAGAGCTTATGGAATTTGTTCTTGTCTTCATGCTGTGCAAATATATAGCATAACAGTTGGATCATTTGTATGTTCGTTATGGTGCCCATATGCAGGCAAATGTTTTCTTCGACATGTAAATATCTGCATATTTTCATTGGAATATTTGGAGCATTTGGCTCCAGTGCAGTTATCACCCAGCTTTGTCAATGACAAACATAGTACTAGCCATTTATCAATCGACTTTTGTTATTGCCCCTTTTTTAACAGGTAAAACAAACAAATGACTGACATTGTGTAATAGAAGGTATTTGGCATGTATATACCTTCTTCTTTTAGTCTGAAATTCTGGAAAATATTGCTTTCCACTGCTGCCCTTTATTCTAAATCTTCTCTACTTCTAATCTGATGCATTCACATGTTTATTGGTGGGTGTCATTAAAACTAGGGATGCACCAATACTAGTATCGGTATCGATGCCGAGTATCGGGCTAGGCATAATGCTCCAATGCCTAGCCCGATATTTCCGGTATCGGGTAGCCAGACAGCGCATCATTACACGCCGCCCGGCTTCCTTATTGGCCAGGAAGCCGGCTCCATACTCCCTCGTCACTTGTGGCTTCCCGACCATTTAGGAAGCCGGGCAGCCTGATTGGTCGGGAAGCTGGGCGCTGTGTAATGACGCAACGCCCGGCTTTCTGATTGGCCGGGAAGCCGGCTTCATGCTCCCTCGTCACCTCATGACGAGGGAGCATGGAGCCGGCTTCCTGGCCAATCGGGAAACCGCGGTTCTGTGTCATTACACGGCGCTCGGCTTCCTGATTGGCCAGAAAGCCGGCTCCATGCTTTCTCGTCACCTAGTGACGAGAAGCATGGGGACGGCTTCCCTGCTAATCAGGAAGCCAGGTGGCAAGTCTTTACATGCCACCAGGCTTCCTTAATGGGACTTTCGGTATCGATACCGAAATATTGGTACTCGATACCGAAATATCGGTATTGTTGCATCCCTAATTGAAACCTAATTTTATATTGGTCCTTTTGTGAAAGTTTTGTAAATCATGGCCCTTTGGGAAATCACAAAGCAGGAAATCTTGTGGTGACTTGTAATGAGTATACAAAATGAACATCTGCCCTTTTCTTTTCCAGATCATGACCACAGGCTGTGAAACAGTAGACATGACCCTTCGCCGAAATGGACTTGGCCAGCTTGGCTTCCATGTCAAGTATGATGGCACAGTAGCAGAGGTGGAGGAATATGGATTTGCTTGGCAAGCTGGCCTACGGCAGGGCAGTCGACTTGTCGAAATATGCAAGGTGGCAGTTGTGACTCTGACCCATGATCAGATGATCGATCTTCTTCGGACTTCTGTCACAGTGAAAGTAGTGATTATACCTCCTCATGAAGATGGGGTGCCCCGAAGGTACAGTGGGCTGTCCTATATATTTCTGTAATTGTTGTTTAACTTGCTCATAGAAACACTAGTTTTGGCTAAACGTAAAGCAGATCTATATTGAAGGAGTAATACAGATTTACTTTAACAGTAAAGAGATTCTGTCACTTGTGTCAATTCAGGACAAGGTAACAGAGTTTTCTGAACGTTCATCCCTTGTTCCACTGACCCTCGCCACACAAGTTCTTTGGTGGAGATGGGATTTCAAACCCTTTGTAGGCTCTGTGTTGAAGCTTACCACAAGCTGATGCCATCCTTCTCCTGTGGCAACTGTGTTGAGGCCTGGCGATTTGTATGCTCAGGCCGTGCGCTGCATCCTAGGAGGTGGTCACATGCCATACCTGCAAGCACCACGATTTTTCTGCGGGCGGTGGAGAGGCGAGGTGGTGGCATGAAGAGAAGTACATGTGGGCTATAGGTGGACTCTCAGTAGATTTTTAATGGGTAAAGAGTCTCTTTAATGATATTAAAATAATTTATAGCAACTCCCAGGGCAGTAACAGCAGAGACCATTAGGGCAAATCCACTAACTGACTGAATGGCACTACATGAAGTCGCAAGATTTTCTGCCATAGGCCACGTAACCAATGGGTTGGTGTTCATCACGTGACCGTGCACTGGTGGGATTGTGGGAAATTGTACAGTTTAGAAAGTGTTCGTTAAATATGCATTGCTGGCTGGATGTAAAAATAACACAGTCAGTGGCGTCACAAGGGGGGCCCACACCCAGGTAACACCATTGGAGGGGTGACTCCAAAATGACTGACATTTTGGTGTCGCCCCTCTAAAAAGTCGGGCACTTGATCATGGACCAAGAGCCTGACAGTATCAGGAAAGAGGAGGGGACCCAGCGGCATACCTCATCCCGCTGGGTGAACGTCCCTTCCTCCTTTGACCGGCCTCCAATACCAAGATGGCCGCCGGCAGGCGTCAAGTAGATGACCGCGCGTGTGATGACGTCACTGCGGGATGTCACCCGGCCTCTGCCCGGTTGGCTCCCGTCCTCAGGACACCCCTGAACACAGTATTCATTTTTCACTATAGACCCATTGAAATGTAGCCAGTATACCTACATTATCACAGCTGACACCAACTTCCAGCTCCTGGAATCCATCTCGTTAAAAGTACCTGCTGGTTCCTCGAATTAACCAACTGGCTTTTGAATTCTGTAGCCATTTTCTTCCACTCTTAATATTGTAATTGTTATTCGTTTTTTTCCTGATGGGACCCTGAAGTACCGGGATCTGATTGCTTATAATCGGTTACGGTCTTTATATGTTGTCACTGCACATTGTTATTGAATCTTGCCATTTGTGTCATTATTGCTCATTCTGAGGTTTGCAATCACCTCTGTATTATATGGTTCTACTAACCACTATGGCACTTGTGCACACAGGCCTTTCTCATTGCTTTGGAGGCAGAGGATCTTGTTGCTTATTAGCTGGATTCAAAGCAACAGGTTTGCTTATGAAAGAGCCATTGGCCCCTTCTTTATGCTTCACAGGCCATTCTCATAGCCAAAGGGACAATATGAGATTAAAAACCCAGGGCAGCTCAGTGTACAAAGTACATGTTTTTTTAATGTTTAGACTTGAGTATTTGATCTGCATGGTACAGTAATTGACCTGAAAGATCAAAGAAAGTCAAATAAGTGGGGTAGATCATCAGTATTATGTTGACATGAATGCAGTATTGACCAGACGTATAGGCATGTATTGTATTGTTGACATTGCTCTCTGCACCTGATCAAATGTGAGACTCTCTTTAGCAGGAATTTAGTACTTTGTTACCGTCATTATATCATCCAGACTTCACCATTTGAAGGGGCTGCAGGAAGGAAATGTTTTTGTTTATCCAACCTGATTCTAGTTGCTATTTTGTAGCCCAGGGTAGGGATTAGAGATAAGTGGGGGCTTGGTGCAAACCCAGTTCAGCTGAGTCTGCCCAAGCCCACGCAAAACTGTGAAGGACATATTATTCTCTCCTGGGTCAATCATTCCCACCCTACAGCTGCAAGTCAGAGAGGGAACAACAATCCCTCCGCCGCTACTGCTGCAACTGATTGGGGGGGCGGTGTCAATCACAGATTTGCACAGAACTGGGTGAACTCCAGCTAACTGGGTTCACAACAAGCCCCCACACATGATTAGAAGGGATGTATTCTGTGTGTATGTATGCTGTATTGCTGTAGTGACAACTTCAGTGTCATAGAGTCAGCTACTGGACTAGGATAACTTAAAGGTTTCGTGAGTAGGGGTTATAGGAAGTTAAAGCGAACTTTTCGGGAAACGAGCTCCATGGTTTTCATACTGATCTGATTTCACTGACCCCACTAATCATGCAAATCCAGAGTCTTACATGCTGGTTCTGATTGGAAAAGTCACCGAGCATCAATGAGGAAGCCGGTCTGAGAGCTCTCACTTCTATTCCTGGCCTGACAGGTTCCCTTTAACCTGAGCATTAGTTTAGGTATTTTGACTGGCAGTATTTAAAATGTGATTGAATCATTTTTGAATAGATGGGTAGCGTTACAAAATGGTCTAGTTCCCAGAGGATCCTCTGGTGAGGATATTCCAAAATCGCTGTGGTTCAATAACAAGCTGCAGGACTCCTATCTTCCTAAAAGAGCCGACAGTCTTCCTACAAGAGCAACATATTCCAGTTCACTCACAACTGAGCACACGCCATAGAATTAAATTGTAACTCTTCAGTTAAACTTTAACACTAGTATAATCCCCAGTATTCTCCCCAATCCAATATGCCTGTCATTGGAGGTAGTTCTAGGTCCTTGGTTCTAAACTGGTGGGTCACGACCCTGTGTTCAGTGGGTTGCCACATGCCTTCCACTTTTCTAGGTGAGAGGCTCATTTGCCTCCCCCTAGTGCAGCACTGTCAGTTCTCACGTTAAGCAGCCATTCAGAATATGCTGCCCGGCGCCGAGTGTCAGCTTCAGGTGGGATCAGATGGGGCTTTGGCCATGAGGGAGCTCCATCCATACGTGCATTGCTTACAGCTTCCTCATATGTCCTGTAGAGGTGCCTGGACTGGAGTGACATCACATTCTGGCACCCGGCACCTCTGCAGGGCACGCAAGGGAGCTGTACAAGCAATGCACACATGGATGGATCTCTTTCACAGCACATCAGCCCACACTGGACCCCAGGCTGAGGATCCACTCCAGTTCTTGTAAGGTAGGGAGACTGGGGGGATCTTAAAAAAAAAAATTAAACATTTTTTGTAGTGTGTGTGTGTGAGATTGTATCTGTGGTTGTGTGTGTCTGTCAATGTTTTTGAGGGCCCGTTAACAATAGTACAGTTCGTTAATCACATAGTACCATGCGATTAACGCACTGTACCACGCAATCGCGTCTACCGCAAGTTCTGGTGTGTTGCGTAATGCGTTGCCATTCATTTGAATGGTACCCCAAACACACCTCCCACCCACAGTTCGTGCGCGGTACCCTAATTCCATGCATTCAATTGCAGTGCGACTTAATGACCAAGGACACATCAATAGACTGTTTATGGAAAGCAGGAAGGATGATTGAAGAGTGCACATTTTACTGTATTCCAAGTTCAGTTCAGTGTGGAGATCCGCGTGTTCACAGTTTCCATAGAGAACAGTTATAGAATTTCGTCTTACAAGACTACATTTGCTTCATAGCCATTCACCATGATGCACACTTTGATATCTCATAAGCTGCTTGAATTGCTTCATTATGTCAGTGTAGGCTCTTGAAGAATTTATTGTGGTCCTGAAACCTCTTTCTTGTTACCATGGCGCCTGTCTTTAGTTGTGTGTAGGTAAATCTATTGGTAGGAATGCAGTGCGCACACACACACAACATTCCTTGTGTCTGCAGTTCTCCCACAGCAACAAAAGGAATAAAAATGTCACTGTTTGCTTAAAGCTGAGCTCCAAGCTGACGTGGAACAAAACGGAACAAAGTGAACAAAGAAAGGGATTTGGTGCAGAAAAAAAGATATTTTAATGAATAAAATTGTACTTATAAAGTTGCAACATGATCAGAACATGTAACAAGACAAATCACGCGCCGTGGGATCACCGGTCCCCATGTAGATGCAACAACTGTCCCTTCTGAAAAGACAGCTAAAGGAGGGATAGCAGGCAGGGCAAGTGACACTAGGCGCATCAGGGGTAACTCATCCAGAATAGCTGGCACAGCTGGAATGAAGTCCCCCCATTTATTTGTTTAGGGCCCCATGCCAAGTGACTGCAGGCCGATGTACAGTAAAAGGCACAAATGAATTCAGCTTTATATGCAAGCAGTGTAAGCAAATACATTTGATTTATCAGCCTCTTGCAGTCCCTGTACAGCAGGGCTGAGAGACGATGAGGGAGAAGCAACACAAGGAAACAGGTGTGCAAGGTGCATGCTGGTAGGAGGTCAGAGCTGGTCATACACTGCTCAAAATCCTGCTGACTCTGCCACAATTTGAGCTGTGGGTGGTCCCGTTAGCAACCCCTTTATTCAACAAAAGTAGATTTTCAATGCACATTTGTTGAGGGAGCCAAGCTGAAAAATGTCAGGTGATCTGTAGCTGTAGCCAGTCGGCTACATTTACTGTTGGGGTATTCTGACAGCCATGGGCACCGACTGTCAGAATACAACAGCTCGGCCGAGGAGATTAACCCATGCACGCTGTTTAGTGTTTTGGGGGAATCATACGTTTTTGTCATTCAGGCTGCAGGGCTGGACAAGTAAAAGTTAACGCTGTATGAGCAGCTTTACAGAAAGTTGACCCTATCAGTGTATTGTTTCCCCTTTTACTGTTCATTCACAGGGCGGGGGTGGCTATGTGCGTGAAAAAGTAAAACTGCAGCAGAGAATGTTCATGTCCCCTCCCCTGTCATGCAGGATTATGTTGTGGGGTAGAGCTGTGTAAATCTCAGGACTGGATGGACAAAAATGCAAATCCTTTTTAGCAGGTAAAACAGATTCCAAACCCGTATTTAATCTCTATATTTAACAGTTTGCCTGGTGGTCACCTTTTTAGCTAGTTCAAGAGCCTGCACATGCATAAGTGATTAGGATATAGGTATAGATGAGGTCATAACCACTCTTTATGCAGATGGTGATTTCATGAACTTGTCTTGCAGTACTGGATTTATCGGAGAGGCGGAATGACACTTGAAGTTCTCCTGAGTGTTGCTCGTAGACTTGTGAATTGCAGTATGCTACATTATATTGGAAGGATGACACTTTATTTCATAGCAAGACATTATTACAGAGCTTGTTATTGAACCGCACCCGTTTAAACCCTGGACAAGTTCAAACACAGATCCAGCTGCAGAGCTCTCTAACGTTCTCCATCAGCCAGAGGGGTTGTGCTCACATTCTGTGTCTGTACATGTGTCACAAGTATATACCTTCACCATTCTTTGTGATTTCTTTATAGGGGATGGTCTGAGTCCCATGAACTCAGCTCAATGGACCACAAGGACACCGAAGGTGCTGCATTTGGTCCCCGAGCTCCATACCGCAGCAACACTACCTGGCAATGGAGTGGCTCTGCTACCCACCATGGTGCCAGTCCTTCTCAGAAGTGGGTGACTCCCAGCTATGCACTTTCACTGAACAGGACACCCAAACAGGTTCCAGCCGTGCCTATTCGGGAACCACAGCCACTACACAACAACAGAAGGTGAGTAACTCCCCCTGTGGCCAAGACCAGCATTGCAGCTTTCATGGAGTTGATGCTATTTCATGGCAACCTCTACCAACGGGCCATTATTATTATTATTATTAGAGGACTTTTATCTCTTTTCACAAAACTTGCTTTTTTGTTACAAAAAAAAAGTGTTCCCATTCCATCCCCACGCCAGGCTGTGTCCAGCTTTTATTTGTATTCTCTTTTTGTATATGGGAAGAACTAAGATGGGCCAGCCTCTTGCTCAGAGCATAGTGATTGTTCACTGTGCTGTATGTGAGCTCACTGTCATTGTATAAACTTTGCTGTGTTGGAGCACACAATGGCCCACCCCTTCTTAGATGGCTTTATATTAAACAGCACATAAAGTAAATGTGGAACTTTTTTCTCTCCAGCATTGTCATTAGGCCATGTAGGATCTCGGGGGGGTCACATTTACCAACCAATTTGTTTTTCAGGTTACTCTTTATTTTGCAATGTATGTTTAAAGTGAATTCAGAGACTTTGTTCATCTCTGGTCCAGTTAATCTTGAGTGAAGTGTATTGCCTGTAGCAACCAGCAAGTTATTTTGTGGCTTAAGAAACCTAAAGTATGTCGTTTTTTGTTGCTTTAGGCATTAAACTTCTTTTTTTTCTCCTTTAGTTGTTAATGGCTCCTTTGTCTTTCTATAGATCCGTGTTGCTCAAATCCAGTCCTCCAGCACCCCCAGCAGGTTGTTTGCTGGTTTGCCTTCATCTTCCACAGATGATTTCATCACTTTTACTGGCTCAGTAATAATCATAGTTTTTTATATGAGGAGGGTCCTCAAAAATGGTGTTGAGGGTACTTGAGAGCTCCAGTTGAGAGACACAAAGGATTGGCCCTTTAACCTTTAAAGTGAACCTGTAGAAAGAAATGTGAAGGCTGGCACAGCAGGTATCATTCCTGCAGTTGCCTTAAAGATACGGATCCACTGCCTGGAACTACAGCCAGAGCCCCCAAAATTCCTGTGCAAGTTTATGTCCCTAATCCAGGGGTGGGCAATTCATTTTCTCAAGGAGCCATGTGAGAAACTGGGACTGTTGTGGAGGGCCGAACTAATAGGCTAAACTTAATTCTGCTCAATATTTATTTTATCGCTTTATAAACAGCAGAAGATTATATGGTTTTGATAATGTCCCCATTAGAGTGCCTCCCTTACATTATTGGTCCCCATTAGAGTGCCCCCTTGCATTGTTTGTCCCCATTAGAGTGCCCCCTTGCATTGTTTGTCCCCTTTAGAGTGCCCCTTTATATTATTGTCCCCACATACCTTAGTTTAATACTTTATTAGTAGGCCAGAGGCGGGAGCCGGGAGGTGCCGTAGGCTGCATTTTGTTCTCCTGCAATGCTGGGGGTGGGAAACACATTTGATGTCACTGGTTTCTAGGACCACCGGCAGTCCTAGCAACCAATGACTGCAGAGAAGGTGGATGCCTGTTGTCATTGGTTGCTAAGACACCAGCAGTCCTAGCAACCAATGACTGAAGAGGAGGGGGGCCTGCTCTGGCTATGGCTGGCAGTGGATGTACCAGCCTCAGAAGCGGGTGCATCCACTGTTGGCCAGCCATGACCAAGCACAGGTGATCAGGTTCTGGACAGAATCACCACTCGGTTAGTGTCCGGACCGCAGGCCGAACTGGGACAGCCAAAGGGCCGGATGTGGCCCAGGACTCCCAAAATCCCCAGGTCTGCCTTAACCCTTTGTGACAGCACTGATACCTGACTAAATTATGGGAGGTGAAAGGAAGCACCCTGTGGTGTCTTATACCGGGAAATACTTGGGGGGATCAGCAGTTGAGTAAGGGAAAGCTAAGAGTAACCATATGGGGTTACTATGCAATGTCTGCCTTGTGTGTTTTTCATTTAAACAGATCAGGATCTCATTAATGCATTTTATAATTTTTGACATTTATTATATAACAGCATCTTATCATATTATGTGCATCACAAAATGTGCAGAATTTACTGCTATACACACAGCCAGATCTGATTACTATTCCACCTATACAGTGCTCTGTATTCTACCAAATTGGTAAGAACCATAATAAAGGGTATTCTGTTCAGCTACATAGACATTAGTTTTGCCAAGAACCAGACTTAAGTTCCAACTCTCCACCTTATGCTTTTTTAAATTTCATTTTTTTGTTTTTGTTTCCGTTTCTTATACTATCCATACATACTGGGTACTGGCTGGCGGAAGAAGATAAAAATCTATAGATTTCTCCATCCATGCTAAAAAGTGTGGATGGTGGGATCAGCACTGCTGGCTATTGTATTTAGGAAGCCGCAACACCCACAGCTGACTGAATATTGACAAGCTGTATATATGTATCTATATCTATATAGATAGATCTATATGTATATAGATCTATCTATATAGAGTATGTAACATCCCCGAAGGAGCAAAGTATATCTTCATTTATTCATTTTTACTAGCTTTAGGCATATGGAAAAGTTTCTTGAGAGAAAGAAAAACTCAGAATAAACAGGATAGATGTTTTTCTTTTTTCATCCCGGAGCAGCACTCTGATATCCTGTGTGAGTTCTTATGGCAGGGGTAGGCAACCTTGGCTCTCAGCTGTGCTGAAACTACAAATCCCATCATGCTTCTGTCTCTGGGAGTCATGCCTGTGGCTTGCAATGCCTTATGGGATTTGTAGTTTCAGCACAGCTGGAGAGCCAAGGTTGCCTACCCCTGGTCTATGGGATTGTGTGATAGTATATGGATACCTGCAGCCAAGGTAGTATAGTATGAGCTGGATGAGTGGCAAATCAAAAAATTGGTACTATTGAGTAAATCCAGATCTCTTTCCTTAAAGTGGCACTAAACTCAGGACTTAAACCATAAAAATACATTCAAGTGCCATAACTATTAACAAAAATGTATCTTATTTGTATCACTCAGCTGTAGATCCTCAAATCATCTCTGAATTGGTGCTGACACTGTCCTTCCTTCTGGAGGGGGGCTACTATTGTTCCCCATGCTCCCTGTGTGTGTTGTAAAGTAGTCACCACTCCAAGCTCACTCCTGTGATGGACTACAATCTCACATTTAGTTTACCAATTTGTATTGAGATTGTAGTCCATCACAGGAGCGAGCTTGGAGTGGTGACTACTTTACAACACACACAGGGACCATGGGGAACAAAAGTAGCCACCGTCTAGAAGGAAGGACAGTGTCAGCACCAATTCAGAGATGATTTGAGGATCTACACCTGAGTGATACACAAGATAAATTTCTTCTAATGGGAAAGGTACCTGAATGCATTTTTAAGGTTTACCTCCTGCGTTTCCTGTCACTTTAATAATAACCTTTAGCAATCTCCGGAGTGTTTTCCTCTTTGCCTACACAATCCCTTTTAAGTCATTCTCTTCACACATGGCTGCATTTCTTCCAGGTATTCCCTTTGTATAAGCCCCTCTGATAATCTAGAATTTGTTTCTCCACACCGAACTTGTGTTTGGTAAACTGGTAAAATAATTAGGGCCGACCTAATCTTGAAAAACTGGCACAGCGTGTGCCGAGGAGACCGCTGAGCAAGGTGTGACAAGGGAGGAGATGCCCAAAGGGCCTCAAGTAAGCTGTACCTGTGTCAGCAGCTTCTCATTCCAGTCATTTCTGTTTACACAGGCCGGTGAGCTATCCAGAGACTCCTTATATCGCTACATCCCCAACAGCCATAGATAAAGGACAGCCTTACAGACACCCCTCTGGGAGCTTCTCTACACCGACCTCCTCCGGGGGAGGATACAACCGCTACAAACCCACTCCGGACAGGTGAGAGGTGAAGGTCATCACTCGAGTCTTTTCCTGTGATATCATGAAGGAATCAGTTTTAATTCTATGTGTTCCCGGTCTGGATTTCTTTTCGTTAGCAGCAGATTCTTAATATAATAATGCAATCAGTGTTACTTTGATCTTGAAAGCTGACCTTTAACCTTCATTTCATGTTCAGCCTTTTAGTTTTGGGTGGACACTAGTGGGTTGAATTAAATATTATAGAATAATGAATTATTAAAATATATAGCTTCTGAAATCTTACATTATATTATTTAGCTTAATGTAGATCATATCGATTTAATGTTTTTTGAACTTTTGTGTATTGTTTGTAAATATTTGTGCACATGGGGGCAGACCTATTTCCTTGTTACAACTGCAGATTCATCTTTTTGTTTAGTAGTAATGCTCAGTGACTGTCCTTTACTGCTCCTCTCTACGAATGTGTGCGGCTCAGGTCTGATTTAAAAACGATATAGACTCATGAGAAGGCTTGCGTTCCAAGAATAAAACAAAAACTACTTTCTCCCCCCCTCCCTACGCCCCTCTCCCGCACCTACATTTTTATCATTTAAAGTATACTGTCCTGAGTGTATTCCATGCAGTCAAGTGACAAGCGCTGCCCTCCTCCATCTTCAGCTGTGGGCGCTACTCACACTTGGCAGCATTGTGACGTTTTCCTTGTAGCTGTACACTGGGAGCCCAAGCAGTGCAATGACACTGAGCCCAGGAAGTGTGTCCATGACAGCCTGGGCTGACAGGAAGGGGTGGGATGAGGCAGGGCATCATACATCCGAGAAAGGGGGGGACCACTGTCATGGAATACAGAGAGCAGCATGGAGAAGCTATTTAGTGGGATCTTTACTTTAAAAAAAAAATAGAAAAAAACCTATTAATTATATATCTGTAAAGGTTCTCATTCATCCAGGTCATGGTATATCTGTAAACAAATAAGTCAAGGCAACTGGATTTGCTGTATTTATTTTTGTAGAATTGGTGATAGACAACACTTGTTGGTGATTATAAAAAATGAATGAGCATGTACATGTTGTATATGTTACAGGTTTAGCACACCACAACGTTCTGTACTACAGCCAGATCCTTATTGCATCCAAGATGGCATATCCAGCCAAGAGGTGACCTCTGACCGACATAAATCTGGTAAGACTCGGCCACAGTCATATCATAGGATTAGACAGTGATATAAACTACTTGTGTCTTATATCTGGTGCACAGAGAAGATCATGGTGTTGAAGACATTGAGGGGAATTTATCAAAACTGGAGCAGACAAAATCTGGTGCAGCTTTCCATGACAACCAATCAGCTTCTTTCTTTCATTGTCAAAGCTTAACTGCACAAGCTGAAGAGAGAGTCTGATTGGTTGCTATGTACAACTGGTCCAAATTCTGTCTGCTCCAGTTTTGATAAAATCCCCTCATTATCTTTCCATTATGAGCAGAGACTAGATCTCTGGGCCCTGGAGATCTGTTTTAGAGAACAGATCACAATATCTGATCTTAGAATGTGCACAGGGCATCTAACAAATTATAGCCACATGGTAATGCAATCTTATTTAATATGCAACACGTATAGTGTAAAGGTCAGCAACCACTCCGCTTCCTTCCTGTAGTGGTCTGTATTCAGTAATGTGAGTTTCCGATGGTTACTTTCAGTTACTTCACCTTTTCACTGTTTATTGAATAAGCTTGTGTGTATTGGACTGATAAAGAAAGGTGAGATCACTATTAAAGCAGTGTGATAACACTAGATCTGCCATACAGAATGTATTCAAGTAGAGCTATCGCATGTTCTCTTACAGATAAAATCCTGAAAATGTTTGTTTCATCTACAAATACATTTTAGACTTCCCAACAATGAATTCTGCTTTAGCAGTGCCATCTAGTGCTAACTATATGAATTGCAGTAGCTGTCCAATACATGGTTTGCTGTTTAAATGACTGGGATGTGGCAGTGCTAGAGTGTTTGTGCACTCTTTGTGAAGTAATTTGCTTTACCTTATACTAAGTTGGACCCCTCTAGAGATATACTATATAAGAGCACTTTGGCATTAAAAAGTTAGACACAATTTAAGTAACTTGGCTGTTTTTAAAACCCCCATTGTCACCCACTGATCTACATGATGTAAGCAGCATTTAATATGCAGAAATAATTTCTGCTTTCATATATAGCACAAACAAATACATCATAATGAAACATTCCTAACCTCCTCTATGGTGTTCTGCAAGGGGGAGCACAAACACTAGACATACTGTGACAGTCATGTAGTGTACATGTTGGGAACTGTGGAAGTGAGAGCAAAAATCAGTTGAAGTTCTGCTAAGTGGAAGCTCATTTTTAATTATTTTCTCTGCCAAGCTTGTGCTGTCTAGTATTAGGATAACCCAGCTCTGCATGTGAGCTGGTTACTGAAGAATAAAATACTGATTTGTGCACTGAACAGACAACAATGTTTCCATGTCTAGATCATTTATGAGCCAGCAATCTGGAATACCTGCACATGACCATCTTTAGACTGTAATTGTGACACGGAATCGCCTCTCGTTCAGTTGTTCTCAGCTTAGAGATTAATTTCTGTCTACTATAAAAAAAAATATATATATATATTGCTTTAACCTTTTCGCTGCCAAGGACAATTTGAAAAATGTTCCGGAGGGCTTGGCAGCGAAAGGGTTAAACTTCATACAGATCTGATGCTTTGAAGAGTTTAAAACAGGCACAGACCTCAATATAGCAGTGACCTGGAAGTGACTGCATTTCATTATGTTTAACTCCATGGTTCTTTGCAATCTGAAAATTAGCGATCTCCGTACAGTCAATAGTGTTAAATAACATTCTGACTGAGAACTTGCTGCAGGTCTCACACTAATGATTAGGAACCAATCAGCATGGTTCCTGGTCATGTGATCACCATGACAGCTAGTTATGGTAATAACATGAGGTTTGTTTACGCCTCTCCTGGCTGCAGCTGACAGAGAAGGAGGCTTAGTGTTACCAATATTACAGTATGTTAAAAAAAGTTAAAATAAATGTGATTACAAAAGGGTTATGTATAAAATAACTAAAACATTTTATGTTAATTTTCCAGTTTATAATAAAACACAATGAGGGGAATTTATCAAAACTGGAGCAGATTTGCACTGTAACCATTTTCAAAACTGAAGATAGAAGCTGATTGGTTGCCCTGGGCAACTGCTCCAGAGTCTTTCTGCTCCAGTTTTGATAAATGCCCCCCCCCCCAATGCGTGCACCATATAAAAGCCTTGTATGTCCTTAAAGAACAATGTAAATGATTTAAAGCTTTAGGCAGATAAAAATACACCAATTAATGGAGCTCTGTAATCATTATCACATCATTAAATGCATTTATCAGTGTAAGTAATGGGAAATAGCCTAACTTTCAGCACTTAAGGAAACATTTCCCAGCACACTCACCAGCCACCCTGCAAAAAAACTACCTATTACTACCTAATAGTCTAACTATTAGGGTTAAAAACAGAGGTTTTAGTTGCACAACTTTTGCAAAATATGTGGAAGCCACACTGCCTCATCAAGGTCCCTCTGTGTGGTGTGGCCCTAACTCTAATCTATGAGAGCCTCCATCTTGGAACATATATAGCAATGGATGAATTGGGTGCATGTCACCAGGAGGTAGCCCATTCCTCCCTAAAGGCTCATCATTATTACATCATTAAATGCAATCAGTGTAAGTATTTGGAAATGACCAAACTATGTGTTTGCATCCAGCACTTTCTCTACATTAGAACTTTAGCTTGCCAATCAGAAAATCTCATGCCTCCTGATGTTTTGAGAACCTTGGCTCTGACTCAGGGGGTGTTTTGGACCTCTTCAGAGAGATAGACCACGGCTTCCACACAGGGATCAGGAGTCCTCTGTAGCATGGTGGCAGGGGACAGGGTTTTCTACTCGGGCTGTGGCTGCTTTTTAAAGGCACCTTTTTGTTTTGAAGTATTTAGTTGATTTAAACTGAAACTCCACTTTAAGAGGATTGTAACGGGTTTGATTAGCTTGAACCATGTTTTAACTTTCCTGAGAGGCATCTACAGAAGGACATTGTAAGCTGAAGAGATCATCAGTATAATTTAAGACTGAATATTACAGTAGCAGTCACTGATGGCTGCTACGTGTGCATGACGACAGCATTTGTCTTTTCAGAGCCTCTCTGGCACATCCCATCACAGACCCGAGTGGCATCCAATGTGAACAAGAGACCAAACAGACAGGAACTGGCTGGCAAGAATTCTCCGCACAGGCATTCTAGGGTGAGTGAGATTGAAGATTCTACATGTGTTGATATGCAATGTAAAGTAATTTGGGTAATTCATTGCTCCCTTTGTTCTGTCCACCAAACAGGGGGAGACCCAATACTCCAGTCACTCTAGCAGTAACACTTTGTCCAGCACCGCCTCCAGTAACCAGAGCGATGAGCGTTGGTTTGACCCTCAGGAGCAGCCCAATGTAGACTTGGAGCCCCTATCTAAAGGCAATTCCAACGACAGTGGCATTGACACCTCCCTGCCTAACTTCCTCCACTCTAATCTAAACCATCAGCCTCGGCGCGATAAACTGCCAAAACCCATGGCATGTTCTACCTATCCTGGCATGCATGACGGCTCCCGGGAAAAGAGGAAAGAGCAGTTGTCCTCCGGAAAAGGCCATCGGCCCAAAATGTACCCTCCTGGGAACGGACCGGGAGAGGCCTTAAACCAGTCAAGGTAATGGCCAAATTTAGTATATTATGTAAACAGCACCATGGTGCAAATTATGCCTGAAATCAATCACATTATTATCTCTGTGTGATATCATTTATTCAGCTAATGGCATCTGAAAGCTTTCATATTGTGTCCAATTTGTGATCAGTCTAGTGTAGTCAGAAATGTTAAATATTGATCGGAGGGAGTGTAAGTGACGGTGATTAGATGTGGTTTGTGCAGAGTTACATAATATCTGATATTGTATTGTGCTGAACTGTTTCTTCCAGTTTAGTGCTGGGAAGATATTACATGCTATGTATTGATAGAAGCTGGGAAGTCTGTCTTTAATCTTACATATTTAATTGGCAAACAGCAGAAATGAATAAGCCATATTGCATAGAGTGTGGAAGAGGTTCTGTCCTGTATGTTTGTGTGTGTTTGTTATTCATGATGGGGGGCGGGGGAGAGAGAGAGTCACATTTTGTATAGTACAGCAATGATGCCTGACCTCTCTTGTACTGTAGAATCTATGTGCAAAAAGGCAAGCAGAGGGCTATTCACCAGTTTTGTCTAAGGCCCCTCCCTCCCCCATGCCTTGTTCTGCTCTGTGTGGAGGAAGCCATCTTGGTAAAGGAACAGGACTTTGCTTCCTTATGCCAGAGCTTCCCCCTTGAGGAATGGTGATCTGATGACTGGTAGGGTAATGATCAATAACCAGTAGGAGAGATGTAGAAAGCACAGATCCACAGAATAAACTTGCATTGAAAGTCCTCTGATACAGCTTTTCTCTCCAGCAAGAACAATGACATCTCTCACTCCGAATCACATGAGAATAGCAGTCAATGTTACAGTGCCTTGGATGATCTCGTTCTGCAGACATACAGTTATGAGGCTTTAGGCACAAAGAAGTGCACTGCTAGTTTTCAGAAGGAATACAAGTATGTGCATCCTTTTAGTACAATCAACACAATAACATAGCAAATCTTCACTTTTGCAATTGGATCAACTTTAAGGGCTATGGCTTACTTGCAGACTTGCCAGCATCAGAATCCTTAGAAAGGGCAGAGATAAATTCTCACCCTTTTCCAATGTGTTACTCCCTTGCTGGCCAGAAACACTGTGGAATCTCCTTCTCCAGCCAAGCGAAGTCTCCCCCATCTGGCCAACAAGGGAGCAAAATGCTAGAAACAGGCGAGTATTTCTGAGCCCTGTGTAGTGACCCTTTAGATGGAGAGTTTTAGCAAAGATCCCAAGTGTGGCCTGGCTGTAAGAGTTTGCCACAAACTTAGGTAGGTAGGGTCATTTGTTATGCAATTGAAGGCAGGCGGGGTCATTTGTTATGCAATTGAAGGCAGGCATTGCCGGATCATGTGTTGCCCAGCTGAAGGCAGGCGAGATCGTGTGTTGCCCAGCTGAAGGCAGGCGAGATCCTGTGTTGCCCATCTGAAGGCAGGCGAGATCCTGTGTTGCCCAGCTGAAGGCAGGTGAGATCCTGTGTTGCCCAGCTGAAGGCAGGCGAGATCCTGTGTTGCCCAGCTGAAGGCAGGCAGGATCGTGTGTTGCCCAGCTGAAGGCAGGCGGGATCCTGTTTTGCCCAGCTGAAGGCAGGTGAGATTGTGTGTTGCCCAGCTGAAGGCAGGCGGGATCCTGTTTTGCCCAGCTGAAGGCAGGCGGGATCCTGTGTTGCCCAGCTGAAGGCAGGCGAGATTGTGTGTTGCCCAGCTGAAGGCAGGCAGGATCGTGTGTTGCCCAGCTGAAGGCAGGCGGGATCCTGTGTTGCCCAGCTGAAGGCAGGCGGGATCCTGTGTTGCCCAGCCGAAGGCAGGCGGGATCATGTGCTGCGCAGCCAAAGGCAGGTGGGATCATGTGCTGCGCAGCCGAAGGCAGGCGGGATCATGTGCTGCGCAGCTGAAGGTAGGCGGGATTATGTGCTGCGCAGCCGAAGGCAGGAGGGATCATGTGCTGTGTAGTTTAAGGGAGGCGGGACCATGTTTGATCAGGTGGGAGCTTGTGTAGTGTTCAATACAGGGGAGATCAGGTCTCTTTGAGAAAGTCAGATCCAATGTTGTGCAGTATGCAGTTCTGGAAAAAAAAGTGGTCCAGCCATATGTTGGGCAATGATACATGAACTGTTATTCCTACTGGCAGGAGGCATGGCTGAAGTACAGACATGTTCCTACTTAGTAAGGGGAAGAATCTGCAACATTTTTAAGATTTAGTTGAAGTTAATTATTCTCACCCTTATTCTTTCGGCCAATAGATCCAACGCGTTTAAGACCCCAGACATTTCCCGGAACCAGCCGATGTCCCAGTCGAGCTCCTTCCAGCTATCCAGCTCTGTGCCCAAATCCTTTTTCTCCCGACAGAATGTGAGGAATAAGATCCCGGCTGGCTGGAAGAAGCCAGAGGAAACACCAAAAAGACCAACCACGTTTACTGATCCCAAAAAGTAAGCGCTTTCCCCTTCTCTAATATACCACCAGATAATACTGATCCCTAAAACCTAGACGGATTGAAATTCTCAGGGCCTATGAGACTTTAAATATAAAAAACATAAATCTAGTGAGAGTGGGCAGAAAAGATAGATCTCATCCCCAAATTAGCAATAACTGAGCGATATCGTGGCATTTTTCCAGAATAACATCTTTTTATAAACTACCCTTCCCTAGCTAAATGTACACAAAGTTTTATACAGTCATTATTATACAGAAGAGAATAAGCTGCCAGCTGTGGGGAAGAATAGACTTTGTTACCTATGAAAATGTTTGTTCGGGCTTATCCTATCTGCAGTATCACTGGTAAAGAATATCTGTGCCTTTTTAATACAGATTGACTGTTAGGTTTGTTCTCATTCCTGGCTGACTCATTGCTGGAAGCCTATAAAGGATCTTTACCCATATCTTCAAAATGACAACAAACACACCTTTAGAAATGTTTAGTGATGACAATCTACAATCACATACTTCTAGATAATTGCCGGCTTTGTATTCTTTGCAAACCTTATTTCTCTTTTCTTCCCCAGTCTTCTCACGGTGGCCATTTTCACTAAGGGCAAAATAATCAATCTCCCTTTACTTCCTGGATCTCTGGCACATGTGAATAGGACATGTGACCACGCACATCATCTCCGGGGAGGAAAATGCCTTTCCCTCCTCTTGAGATTACAGATAAGATTTCCCAGCAATGCTCTGCTGATGTAAACTTGCTTGCGCACGATTACATTATTTGTGCCAAAGAGAGCCAGGAAGTGGAAAAAAAGAAATGGTAAATAAAAGAAAAATATGTTTAGCTAATAAATGTAAGATTTCATATCAGCATACAGAGCTCCATGCTGATGCGATTTTTAGCCAAAGGGGGTAAGGGTCCACTTTAATACTGATCGCTATAAAATACATGCCTTTTGGGAAGTGTCTGAAAGCATGTACTAAACAAATATATGTCAAAGGGGAGGAGTGAGACTGCATTGTTTTCTGAGGAAAGCATCACATCTATAGGGATGCTGGGGGGGGGGGGGTAATTCCTTTTGATAGGACTCTGTGTACACAGAGCCATGTATTAGTAGATAACTTTATCAGGAAATAGAAGGAAATTTCATCTGGCGGGGCCCTTGATGATTTCTATACATCTCTTAAAGGAAAGAAAGGGAAAGATGTAAGGTCACATTTTCAGACATATGTGGTTCACCTGGATATACCACAGACCTAATGTGTTTTAAGAAACAATCTCTTTTCAACCTTAAGCAGCGTCTTGTGTTCTGGTTCGGTGTTTCTGGATATAGACGTCTGTTTTCAAGCAATTTCCATCACAAAAACAATTTAACGGGTCAAATAAAACCTACCAACAACCTCTGATTGTTACAGGGTTTTGAAACTGGTGGTGGTGGGTCACCCTGATCCATTCAGTGTTGCGATGGAAAGCTGTTTGAAGTTGCCTGAATATTGCTGTGTATATGGCCGGCGTTACACAATTATACAGGGCTGGAGCTTGGTGTGTGTGTGTGTGTGTGTGTGTGTGTGTGTGTGTGGAAGAAGAATGTAGGTCAACAGTAATGGCAATGTGTTGAAAAGGGAGGATTACAGGAACATCTGCTGTTTGTAAATATGAGCTGAACAGCTGGTATATAGCACTGTATAGTAAACACTTTTGTTCTTTCATTTGTGGGGTTTTTTTGTTTGTTTTTTTAGCATGTATTTGGCAGAAAACATCAGCAATTTCTGTGATTCGAGTCTCAATACTCTGCTTTGTCTCTGTTTCAGACAAGTTGATATGAACACAAAGAATGTATTTGGTCAACCCAGGCTTCGGGCTTCCCTGCGAGATCTACGATCACCTCGGAAGAATTACAAGTCCACCATTGAGGATGATCTGAAAAGACTGATTATTATGGATAATCCGGGGCCAGAGCAGGAGCAGGAACGCATGGTGAGACACAGAGTTTACCTAATATAGATATATATATATATAGATATATCCTATTTACAAAAATATTTTCACTAATGCTGAGCCATCCTTGTGATCCATGCACCACTGCCAGACAGCATAGCCATACCCTTGGCCTGCCTTATCCCTCTAGTTAAGTAGCACAGCTTGGTCACTGCCCTTCCCCAGTCCCAGGAACTGGACAGTAAAGAGGCTTCAGCACACATATGACGTCATCACTCTTCTCCCTCTGCCTGTCAGCAAATGTCCAGTGTTAGATATAACTGCACTGTGCAATGCGGTTCACCGGTACCTGGATCGCAGTGCGGCCTTTTTAATTTCCAGAGTCCGGTTTGTGGCAGGCTTATAACAAAGATGGAAACAGGCACTTATAATAGCCATATGTAAAATACATTTATTTTTATTGAATAAATAGTCTTTTTTTCCAATTATACATTAAATTCAGCATTAAAGGAGAACTCCAGGCAGTTAAAAAATTAACCCTTGAAGTGGGGCTACCCCTGCACTGCAAGAGTCAACTGCTCATTTTAGTCTAGGGTCTAAAATTAAAAAAAGGTTTACTGACCTGATCCTCTATCCTGCTTGGCTCCTAGCCCAGTCCATGCAGTCTCTGTTCCACTCCGCTCCGGTGATGTAAGGATCCGTGAGTCATCACATCTAATACAGTGTATTGGACGTGAGGACTAGAGCTGCAGCTAACGATTATTTTCATAATCGATTATAATCGATTATGTCGATTAGTTGTTGCAGCCCTAGTGAGGACCCTGAGGGGCATTTCACCGGCAGAGTGAAGGGAGAGAAAGAAGTGGGCAGCCTCTGCCGCAGGATCGAGGCTCAGGTGAGTATAACTTCTTTATTTTAGATCCAAGAGAAAAAACAACGAGCAGTTAACCCTTGCAATGCGGAGGTCGCCCCGCTACAAGGGTTACTTTTGTAAATGCTTTGAATGAATGTAGAAAAGCAATGCAGGGGCTTTCATTGCTGGCTGCGTTCTGAAAATTCTAGTTACCTGGCTTTCATTCTGATTTACTAGTTTCAGTATTTTCTGTGTCATGTCAAAAATCCTTATCTGTGTACTTTTTCTCAGTAAGTGAAAGTATTGAAGAACCACAGCCAGGCATCTAGCATTTTTCATTTCAGTGACAAGCATCTTGTTTCTCTCTTGGTAGATTTCTGTTTAGATTAGCTGGCTCTGATTGATGGTTGGGTCCACTAGTGTCACTGCTCAGGGGAGCACAGCTGTCATTCTCTAATAGATCGCTTACATGGTTACATCTAGCCACGTCAAGAGGCAGATGGTGCAATTCATATCTTAGAAAATGTAACCTTTTTGATCCGTTTTATGGTCATGCCTTGATTTATGTATGTCCTTTCTGGCTCCTACTACACTACATCACTGCTAAAAGGCAGTCTCGCAGACCAGAAACGGGTTACTACTATCTAGGGACCAAGGTAACTGTGCTATACTCTGTTATCCACTTTGTTTCCTAAAGGGGGCCATACACTCAGCTGGATAGAGGAATCTTCTCTGCCGGCTATTGTATCCTGACAGCCAGCACATGCCACTGTGAGAATACACAAACATTCACTCTCTGTTCACACCTAGGTGTCAGTGTTTTCGCGCATAGAGCACGTTTTGAGGCGTACCATTGCTGGGAATGAGCAAACATGCCCACAAAATGCGCAAACCGCTTATGTCGTGCATTTTCATGGACTTCCATTGAAGTCTATGCAGCCAAACGCGCTGTAATCTGTAAACGCGTCCGAAAAAAGCTCTTGCCCCTTTTCCACCATACAGCGTTTTACAACTTGCGACAAAACTCTCGCGTTTGAACACGGGCCAGAGAAATGAATAGGATTTCTTGTGTTGAGAGTTTTGTCGCACTTGGCTTTGAGTGTCAAAACGCCTAGGTGTGAACAGGGACTCAATTAAAAAATTTGACTTTTGTCGAATGGAGTAGTGCTGGCAGGGCCACACACTGCTTGAATTTTAGCCAAGTCGGCAGGACTCAGACAAAATTTGAACAATGTATGGCCAGCTTTAGTCTTTATTTTATAGAACCTTTGCAGATTCCTCAGGCTTTACCCAGGTTCCAGGTCTCTAACCTCGGTTTTGCCTCTGACTCTGTGAAGGATTTCATTTGGACATGTGGAAATCTCAGCCCCTTTTCATCTCTGCACTAGTGTAATGCTTTTCAGAATGTGTAATCTGTTCCTTGTTTCCTCCAGTCACCACAGAAGACCTTACACAGAACGCTGTCTGATGAGAGCCTGTGCAGTGGCCGCAGAGACGCCGGATTTGCCTGCTCTTCAGGAGTGGACTCCTCAATGGGCAACGATGGCTTTTTCTCCAGCGTCTACCCAACCTGTACCCTTCCTGTCCGCCGCCAGCACCAGTCCAACATGCCCGAGAAATCTGGTAACATTTGCTGCACTTTTGAGCTATTTTATTGTACACATATTTGGGACATATTCCATGAGCATAATGCAGAGATAATAACCAGATGTGGTAACCCATCAGAAACCTATAGCTGATCTGACTGTAAAATACAATCTCATAGGTTTCTGTGCGGCATTGCTCTTTATGTCTTTAATAACTAAAGCTAGCCAATAAAGGGTATTGTATAAACTCCAAACTTTCTGTACTCATTGATTGGATCAGTGCAATATCCTTCTATTTCCATATTGTGACTGATCCAGTGCAAGTATTCATATAAGGCTTTCTTACTTTTTTGATCTACTTGTACCAGGTCAGTGAAACTATTTAAAGGACATTTAAACCTTCCATTTTTTTGCATATATGTACTGATAGCAAGCAGTAGATATATGCAAAAACATAAAAAGAAAAGTTACCAAAAGAGTTAATAACTCATCTGTGTCTTCGCCGCATGCTCCCGTATGAAGATCTGAAGATTCTCGGGCGGGCGCATGCGCAGTAGAGATCTTTGGCCGGGAGAGAAGGAGAGACACAGGGTAAGCCAATGTAAGCAGGCTGGCAGCAGGTACATGCACAGACACCGTGGGACACAGAAGACAAGCAGTCAGCGCTGGATCAGAGACCAGCACTTGAGGGACTGCTGAAACTACTGAAAAGAAGATGATTGGATCAAGAGGCATCATTTATGGCAAATCTCTACAGCAGGATTGGGGGGGGGGGAATAGACTTTAATGTCACTTTAAGCCGGCACATTAGAATAAAAGCCAAGCAACTAGCATTTCCAGATGAGGACAGCAATGCCAGGTTCTATATTCCTCTCATGACATGTTTACTTGTATAAAAATATAACGTTTCATGGCCCTGGATGCTTGTTTTAAAATACACATATAACAGAAGGTTTCAATTCCTTTCCTGTAATATATCCGACAAGAGGTGTCTGTAACTTTCAGTGAACTAATTGTCACCTGCAGTAGGTAAAATTGGGATCTCACACATCAGCACATATCATGCTGTTATCTCTAGTGCTAACACTTGTGTGAAGGATGCAGTAGAGATAAGTAGACGGTATAAATAAATGCCACTCTGAAATAAGTGCCGTCGATGTCTGTTCTTTGCAGCCACCATCTCTTCCTCTGAGCTGTCACTCTCTGAGATCCGGGATTCCAACTCCAGACATATGGACCCAGGAATGATGCCACTGCCAGACACTGCAGCTGGACTGGAATGGTCTAGTCTAGTCTGTGCAGCCAAGGCCTTTGAAGGTAAATATGCAGATTGCAGATGCAGATTAATAGGTCTGCTTCCTTTTTCAGACGAATACACTTTACGCAATAGTGTAAAATAGCAGCCAATCATATTTCGGTTTATTCTAGGCAAGAGACAGTGACATTTCATTGTTTTTTTTGTGGCTGGCTGCACTTTGCACTGTGAAATAAGTCCAGTTTGGTTGTTTCCTCGAAGCATTGTCAAGTTATAATGATGACGTCACTCATAGCCACTACCTAGATATTTCATTGGTTTTCACCTGAATATTCGCTAGAATGGACCACATTTATGATGGGAAGAATTGTCTCATCTGTACTTTCTTCCAGGGCTGTATATGGGGGGGGGGGGGGGGACTATAGATGGCCTTACGTTTTCAATTTACTCTGGCTTTTGAGAGCAAGTCCCCTTACTGGTAGGTGTGAACTGAAAGATATTTGTAACAAAATGTGTGTGTTTCCTGTGCCAGTGTACTATTAACACATTGTTTTCTCTTGCAGTGCAGAGAGCTGCCTCACTGTTCTCCCTGAATGAAGTTGCCCTGAGTCCAGTACAGAGCGGAGGCACTGCACACCTCAGCCTGGAGAGGCAGCACACGCCACGAAGCACCCCCACCTCCAGGTACTATGAAACAGCAGCCGAGCTTGTGTTTTAGTGTAGGGATGCACCGATACCACTTTTTTAAGGCCGAGTACCGATACTTTTTTTTCAAGTACTCGCCGATACCAATTACAGTGGGATACACCTACTGTATGAATGGCTCATATTTTCAAAAAGATTCCTTGAACTTGAAATTTCTTAACCATAAATAAATGTTCTATCACTCCAGGCAAGGCCTGTGGTGATATGGATGAGGGATGTGAGAAACCTTAGTTATCTCAGGAAACTGAGATATTCTAGCATGTTAGAACATCTATGATTGTTGCAATGTCGTTTCCTTTCCTCCATAGAAAAGAGTAGGTTCTATTCACTGCACATGTGGTGGCATTTAATTGTCATCCAGCTTAAAAAGCCAAGGCAGGTCCTGTAGTCTCTCAATGAAAGGCAGAACTATCATTTCACACCATTAGTTGCTTAGTAACAGACCTAGCAGTCACAATTGTCCTGTACATTTTGTTAACAAATGCGGTAATCAATCATGCTTAAGGCGCGATGGCCGTGCTTTACATATCTTTTTAAAAGCAACTCGTGTCTCAAAAATAAAAATTAAGAAAAGAGAACCATGCAGACGAACACTGTTAATATTTGCCTGTCCTGATGCCCACGCATCGAATCTTCCTTTTCTTGCAGAGCTGCGGCCACAGGCAGAATCTTCTGCATCTAGCGCTTTCGGATGCTACATCGCCACTGTGTCTCAGGGACAGTATCAGATGCTGAAGGTTCTGCCATAGTTCTGCAAGAGCGCAAAGATCCAGGGCGCAGGTGTTGGGACAGATAAGTACAAAGGGGCATATTTATGTAAGCAGTGAATCTGACCATTAAACACTCACTGCAGGTGATTCTTCCAGGTTCATGTGCTTTTAATGACAGTGTGTGATTCATCACCAGTGGATATTTGGTGAAAGTCACGTTCACTGGTTTATAAATATGCCCCTAAGTCAGGGTTCGACAAATCCCAGGCGCCAGGTCGCGATTAGAAATTGCGTCCTGACGCCTGAGCTTTTGTCAGCCTGTTCACCGCACCTTTCTTCTACAGCCCGGGGCATGCAGTTCCAGGCGCCGGGCGGCTGGTTCTTTTCTACATTTAGCCCGGCTTTGGGCACACAGGGCTAAATGTAAAGCGTGGAAAGCCGGCGCTCGTTAAGTATAGCAGCCGGCTCGTCTGGCCTCACCTCCATGGTTCAGTCGCCCCCTCACCGCCGTTGTTTCCGAGCTCCCCCACTCTTCTGGGGGACCTCAGTAAACAGCCTTCCCCTGTTAGCTGTCACATGTGGAGCTGTACAGAAGATCTATCACAATGCTGTGCTGGATTTTCTGTACTGGAGGGCAGGCTTCATAAAGAGAGACCGGCACCTCTGAATTATATCACATAGGGGCTTGTTAGTCCCTGTGTGATATCAATAAAATAAAGTGAAAAAATTAAAAAAAGTGATAAAAAAAAACTAAAGTGATAAAAGATTTTAAAAAATTGAAATATTAAAATAAATACAAATTAAAATTAAAACTAACCCTGCCCCCACCACCTGCATGCGAATAAAGTTTAAAAAAAAATAAAGTTAAATCAAATTAAAAATGCCAAAGAATAAAATTAAAGTCCCCCCGCGGGTGCGAAACGCCCCCGCAAAATAAACCAGGCCCCTAACTTTTTTAGCTGGCTCCTGGATTCAAAGAAAATTTGTCGAGCCCTGCTCTTGTTGTTCAATTTGAGTCTGTGGCATTTTTCCATATTTAAAGCACAAATGTCAGAACTGTGACCTCATTAAACTGTCCCCAGAACTAACATTTGAAGGTCCCTTTGAGTGCTGGGGACCCTGAATTCAAGGAAGCTATAATGGAAATGTTTAATACCACCCAGCAGTATCAATAGTTGACCCTTCAATAGGCTCCCTTACCGGTCAATGTAAAAGTATTTGGAGGTGAGGGCAAGCTCTTGATCCTGCTAGAAAGTGTCAAAATATGCTTTTTAGCTCTTGGGGCATTGGCAAAGAATTTGAGATGTGTGCAACGTCCACCTCCATTTTGGTTCTGGAACCAGTATTGTAGGATCAGAGTTCTGATGGGTGTGAAAGGACATGGGCAGTGGAAGCTTTGGTGTATGTATGACCATTTTACTCTATCCTAGATGTAGTGGTGCATTTTAGCCCATAAATGTTGTAGTCTGCATTTATTGCTGCGTGATCCTTGCATTTTGATAAACACTTGTGTCTTTTTTTTTTTCTTACACCATTACCATGAAGGCCTTAAGATAATCACATGGACGATCCTTCACCTTCCACAAATGATTTTGATTCCACTTTCCAAGAATGATATAGTATATGTAAGGTCTGAGAAGATAAACTATAGAGTTATGGTACACAAAGTTGATGCTCTGGGTTTAAAAGTTTTTGGCGGGGGGCGTGGCTTGGCTATGGCACAGTGAAGACACCTTTTACACGAGCAGTGCCGGGTGATCATCTCTTCTGCTTTCCAAGACGTTTTTTCATTACCTGAGCCCATGCATAGGGAAATCTAAATCCAGGCGGAAACCACCATGATCCTCCGCTGGCTCGCTGCGCGCCTTTTTTGGGGGCTCTGACATTGTGCCGTCCACTGACTCCACACGGCCTACTGATCGCCATCTTGCTTCTCCGACATCCCTGCCTGTGAATCCGGCTCCCCGGTCTGTGTCGTTGCCAGCGCTGCTCTAGTCCAGCCGCTCACCTGAATCTCCAGAGGCTGTTCTGACTTCTTAGGTGGTTTGTCAACCGGCTGTGCTGCCCGAGTTGTCCCTGACCACCATGGCTGTGGGTGCCCTGGCCTTGGAGACACACGGGCTGCGGGCGATCCTCAGTGCCTTGCCGAGTATACAGGACCTTGATGTGCACACCGACCACCTGGAAGCCGCGCTTCATGGAGAGATAGAAGAACTGCTCTCTGACCTCACACAAACTACTGCCAGAGTGGGTGTTCAGGAGCAGTCTCAGATGGCCGTCCAGGATTGGCTCGCTATCCTGGAATCAACCCAGGCTTTGATGGCGCAACGTTTTTTTACAGCTGGATGACATTGAAAACTGCAGCCAGTGTAACAACATTAAGGTTAGAGGGGTCCCGGAGTCTGCTACTCTGGCAGACTTACATGATGTAGTGGTCCGGATCCTGAATGCTTATCTGAATAGACCCGCTTCTACAGACTTCGAAATTGACAGAGTGCATAGGACTCTTGCCTCAGTGCCACCTGGCCCGCTGAGAACACGGGATGTGCTCTGTCGAGTTCACTTTACAAGGTCAAATCATGCGTGCTGCATGGTCTAAAGGCTTCCTTGAGATGGACAGCATGCAGGTTACCCTCTTACCTGGCCTTTACATGCGTTATTGCCGTAAACTTTTGCTGGAACAAACTTAAAGGTGGATCATACAAATGGGGGTCATCCCTTCGCCCTGCTTATCAAGCTGCAGGAAGCTGCCTTCCACCTGCAATATCCATCCCAACTTCCAGCTGCCTTTCAGTTTCTAGCGGTGCATCCTCTTCCTATTCAGGACTGGTTGGAGATTGGGCCTCCTCTGTCTCTCCCCCAACGTGTTTCCTGCTGTTCTAGATCACTGAGGGGACGTCGTTGAGGTCAGTGTTCCCGATGACCCACCTGTGGATGCTGCCGCAGACCTGTGATGCTCCTCTCCTTTTCTTAATTTCATGTCTGCGGGTCGGATGTCCCAGTACCTGCTTTGGGCCTCTTTGCGGTGGCCTGGTGGGCTGCCGTGTTTCGTGTTGGATCCCCTTAGTGGGCTTTTCGGTTCCACAGGCTTTCCGAAAACTATACGTTTGCTACAGGACTGCACCATTGCCGTGTTGTTCTTGCCCTTCCACGTTCTAGCTCTACGCCCTTGCCATGGCTCCTACCTCTAAATGTTTCCAGGATTCCGTGGGACTATGGTCTACACTTGGAGCAGCAGGGCGGTGGTATGTTTTTTTTATTGACCCGCCATCTGCTCCATTTTTTTCAGTTTTCTTTCATTGCAAGTTATCCATTTTGCTATGATTTTTTTATATAGCTGTATGTATTATGATGTTTTTTTATCCACTGTATTACGGGTTTACACTTATCTATGCATCTTACATGCTGTGTGATGTTTCCTGTTAGTTTGCTTATTTATTACTGGTCTCGTTCAGCTGGTTGCCTGGCATCTCATGTAGCCTCTCACTGCCCGAAGTAGGTTAGTCTGGGATGGCCTGGCGCCTTTCCTTTGGGTCTCCATCTGGGCTTTGTTGGGGGGCGCCTGGTGACCCTAGACTGTTGACGTGTTTTGTGTCTCACTTAGTTTTTTTTCCCCCCTCTCTTCCTTTCACTCCCCCCCTTCTCCTCCCTTTCCTTCCTTATTGATCCCTTCTCCTTCTTTTCTCTTTCCTCCTTCCTTTCTTCTCCTCCTTCTGTCTCTCCTCCTGTTTTAGTCCTTTCTGTGCTTTCTTGTTCTCCTGCCGGCTGTGGGCCCCACTGTCCTGGTTTCTGGTCACCTCTAGAGGTCGTCTCTTCTCTACCTATTTAAGATGGCTGACCTCTCCTTTACCTCCTATAATGTGCGAGGTCTTCATACTCCAGAGAAGAGATCCCGGCTGCTGTTGGAGCTGTGGCATTTGTGGACACGTGGGTTTTCTTTAGGAGACACATTTATCTACTGGTAAGCTTCTGAAACTCTCTAATTTTCAATTTCCAGGGTCTTATCATGCCCCCTCTCCTTCCTCGAAAGCTAAAGGGGTGAGCATTCTGATCTCCCATCTGGTCCTCTGGACAGTTAAGGAGATGATTGCTGATGCCTCTGGTGGGCTCCTCATTGTCAAGGGGAAGATCTTCGACACTATGGTTACCCTGGCGAATCAATATCTGTCAAATGAGGGTCAGCTGACATCTATGGGGGCTTTTTTGGGTAAGATTATTGCTCACCAAAAACCTGTATTGATAGTCCGGGGGGCGGGGGGGTGGGGGGTTCAATCTCCCCCAATTTAGTCCTTTTATTCAATCTAAAATAGATTCGTTTTTCACCTTTAATGACACGGGTGACATGTCCCCGTTCACTTTGTGGGAAAATCATAAGTGCTATTTAAGAGTCACCTTTATTCAACTTGCTAGACGTACCTTCGACAGTTACAAGAGTTGTTGGAGAAAATACAGTCACTTGAGGCCCTGCATAAGCACACGTTGGCGGGGGCGACGGCTGCTTACCTTAAACTGTTGCGATTGTGGTTAGCTCTCCATAAGGTAAAATCCCAACTGGTGATAAATAGGCGTTCGTACTATGAACATGGCAATAAACCTGGGAAGTTGTTGGCCAGAGCCCTTAAAGACTCTTTCTCTAAAACCTACATTCTGTCGATTAAGGACGCCACGAGCACTATTCATAAACCTCCTGATGGTATCGGCACGGCTTTTAGTTAGTTTTACCAGGACCTTTATCATTTTCACCCAGCTAGATCCCCTAACGGACTACTCTTTATGAGTTACCAAGATCCAAGAGCATCTCCGGAACTCTCAAATGCCATCGCTGTCATCTGAAGACAGGAATGCTATGGAATCACCTATCTCGGTGAAGCGGGTGGTCAGGGTTTTGCGCTCCATGCATTCAGATAAGGCTCCCGATCCTTATGGCTTTACCCTTCATTATTACAAGACCTTCCGGCAGGTCCTTGTCCCCCAATTGGTCCATGCTTTTAACTCTCTGTTGGACTGTGGATTACTGCCTGGGAACTTGCTCTCTGCTCATATTACAGTTATTCCGAAGGAGGGCAAAGACCTGTCAGAATGTGGGATCTATTGACCCATAGCTTTATTGAATGTTGACTTGAAGATTTTCGTAAAGGTCCTGGCTATGCGACTGCACCCGCATCTACCTCATAATATCCACCCAGACCAAACTTGCTTTGTTCCATTGAGGGAGGCGAGAGATGACACCATACAAGCTATCAATGTTAATCATGCTGCTTCATGAAAAAAGCTACAATAGGGTGGATTGGCAATTTGCTGAAAAGGCCTTCGACAAGGTGGATTGGCAATTTGTTAATGAGACCCTGCCTTCTTTAGGCCTAGGTCCTAATATGCTTGGCTGGATTTAAGCCCCATAAAGTTGCAGCTTATGCAGACGATCTTTTGTTTTTACTTGCACAACCTCATATCTCCCTACCAGTCCTGCTGTCCCTCTTGCAGCATTTTGGACAACTATTCAAGTACAAAATCATTCTTACTAAATCTGAATCCTTAGGAGTCTCTATTCCTTCTGCGACTGAGCTTTTATTGCGCGCAAATGTTTCCTTATAAGTGGTCGGACTCACATATTCGGTACCTTGGAATGAATATCTTGGCAAATCTCTCTCGATTGTTAAATTTTGTCCCTCCATTAAGAAGGATTTACTTGGCATTGGGGTGTCTTGACGTGGTTTGAAAGAAACAGCATTTTGAAGATGCTGATCCTCCCAAGACTGACTTATCTGTTCCAAACCTTATCCATCGACCTACCCAAACGTTTTCTTTGTGAAACTCGTCGGACCTTTTTTAGATTTCTCTGGGCGTATTGGAGAGCTAGCCTCCGGCATCGGGTGTTGAGTTTGGCTTCCCGGACCCGGTCTGGTACTATGAGGCTTCTCATGTGGCCCACTTGTTGGAATGGTGTTCTCATTCTACAAACTGTGGGTCTCTCTGGAAGCCACTGTCTCTCCGATACCTTTGCAAGGCTTCCCCTGGTTGATTGACCGTTTACCTCAGGAGGTCTCGCAGCACCCTCTCATAGACCCAACTTGCAAAGTCTTTATTGCCTCAAAATTATCCACACTCCCTGCGCTCCTTGCCCCTATTCTGGGATCACCAGGTTTTACACCTGGATGTTCGACGCCCTCTTTCTTGCCATTGATCAGGTCAGGGTCTTTTAGGGCTCTCCATTTCCAGAAGGAGGGTCAGTTCCTTCCCATAACCGGGCTGCAAGAGCAATTTACAACTCTCGACACATGGCAAATCCTCCAACTTTCACATTATCTTACCTCACTTGAACTTTATGCCACTGTATTTCGCCCTCTTACACCATTTGAACAGTTATGCTTACATGCTGAACTACACAGGCATACTCTCTCCTTGGCTCACTCGCTCTTATTGGATCCTGATGGGAGTTCCTTGCCGCTATACTTCCGCTCTTGGGAGCGTGATCTTGAATGTAGTCTGTCCTCTGCTCAAATGGATCGAATCCTTCTGTTCACTCATAAGGCCTCTATATCTAATGGAACTCAGGAAGCTGGTTATACATTTCTTACATGTTGGTACCTGACTCCCTCTAGGCTGCATCAGTTTGACCCCCATTGTCCCAAAGTTTGTTGGAGGTGCCAGGCTTCCGACGGATCTCTTCTGCACTTATTTTGGTCCTGTCCACGGCTGTCCAAATTTTGGGATGCAATTCTGGATTTCTGTCATAAATGAAATTGTTCTGCTTGAACAGGACGCCCTTGGTGATGTTGTTTCACCAGAATCCGTTGTCACTTTAACGATACAAAAAACATCTTTTTTACACCTGCTGAATGACGCAAAGGCTTGTATCCCGATGCTCTGGAGGAAATAGGGAGGAGAGGTTTCCCGAGACCTGGTTTTATTGGATAGACTTCCAAACTTCGGATTAATATAAATCAGTTATGTCCTCCTGAGTCTGCCACTAGGTGTCCCGCAGCTGCTGTCACTGTACTGTTGACCATGCAACTCACAGCTGGCTTCTTTTCCTCCTTTCTCTCCCTACTCTGTTCCCTTTCTCCTTTCTTCTACTCCCTTGCTTTTCCTCTCTTCCCTGCTCCATCCCACCCTCCCCTTATCCCATATCCAGATTTAAAAACCTGGGAGATTTGGAGACATATAGTCTGCTAGAGGGTTTACACAGCGCTTTATACGTCAGCCTATGCTTCATACAAGATGTGATGCTTGTTATTTCGTTTTTCTTTTATTTACATATGGGTTTCGTACCTTAATACATTACCTTATGTGTATTCCGCAATATTGTTGTGAAGATGTGTTTTAATGTCCTTTCTATTGACTGTATCATGTTCTCTATGTCAGCCTTAATAAAAGTTATGTTTAAAAAAAAAAAAAAAGAAAGTTTTTGACAATCATTAATGTTAAAAAATTTGTTTCCAGATGTTTGAGCTAATCGTACAGTTCCACAAAATGTGTGTAGCAGATTTTCAAAACGTTTAGTGGGGTCATCCAATATTCCAGAAAATACATGCCGTTACATCATAGGAAAACTTTCATATCTGGAAATTGCACTCTCCAGTGCCCATGTCCTTCCCCAATTGTATCTTTGTAAGGACATTGTTACTTATTTTTCTCACAACATTGTACTCGTGTCTTTCTAGTGACGAATTGGTTCCAGGCCTCCCTGTGAAGGTTATGCAACTGGAAGTCATGCTGAAACAACTTCATACTGATTTGCAGAAGGTAACAATAGAGCTTTCTGCTTCTGTCCAATAGTAATAAACAGTTGGGTCTCTTAGATAGGGGAAATGGCTAACTTGGACCCCAATCGATCTGAAAGTTACACACTGGTGAATCAGGTGCATATGGTATTAAAGTAAATCTGTCATATAAAAGAAATACAGAGACTGCCATTGCTGACCTCCTTCTAAAAATGCTTGTAGCTTGACTGCTTTGCTGACCCCCTGACTGCAATGCAGATGTTGGAAGTTGGGAAAAACATCAGAAGTTATGACAGTCAGGCAACTAACATTTTTAGGAGATGTCAGCAGTGGCAGCTTCCATGTTTCTCTCATGACAGGTCTCCTGTCTTAAAAAGACTCTTCTGTCGGCAGTTGAACAGGAGGCGGTTATGCCGATGTTGTGTCACTGATTAATAACAAATGAGTTTATCTTGTTTTAATAGATTAGGACTTTACCCCTAAGAAGGGAAAGTATCATCTTAATTTGAGGTTTTAAACTGATGTTTTACATTCTTTTCCTTTTCACAATATGTAAAAATATATTTTGCTGATCAATACTGAATGCAGGGCATGCTGGGTTTTCCAATAAGAAAGTCCAGCACTAGTTTTGCATGTTTCTCAGAGAGAATATCCATATGGCTGCTATCTGCTAGCAGTGAGGGAGGGGTTATGTCCCTCTACTGAATGTATATTCTGATATGCTGCTATCCAGGTCTATTCAGAGCAAAGTAGTAATCCAGCTGTATAAAATGTAATTCACACTTGCCACATGCCAGTTGCAGGTGGTCGATATAAAATGTTCATATGCAATATTTACAATTTCCTGGCTAACAAGAGATTAAACCTTTTCAAAAAATTCCTATCAATCCTAAACAACAAATAAATGTTCTGCCAGTTTAGGCCAGACCTATGGTGGTCTGTACACGGAGGGAGGACGCATGAACCTTAGTGATCACAGAAAACTGCAATTTTCCAGCATGTTACAAAATCTGGGATTGCTGCAGTGTTGCTTCCTTTCCTCCATAGAAAAGGGCAGATTCTTTTCAAGTGTACGTGTGTTGGCATGTAATTGTCATCCAGCTTAAAAACAGTCAATGCAGGTCCCTCAGCCTCTTGAAAACATTTGCACCATTAGTTGCTTAGTAACAGACCTAGCAGTCACAATTGTCCTGTACATTTTGTTAACAAATCAGGTAAATGTTGAGATGATGGGGCTTTACATAATCCTTAAAGTGAGCTTAATTATGTACATGGTCTGCTCAGTAGGTTTAATACCATGACTGTCAAGAGGCTGTAGGACCAGAGGTCTTTGCAAGGTCATTTTCAACCTTAAAGGTGTTTTAAATCCAATTGTTGCAAAAATGTTGTATTCTAATAACTATGTGTAGTTATTACATGGAATTATTTTAGGACTGCAACCAACTAATCGATGAATCGATAATGAGAATCGTTGTCAACGATTCTCCTTATCGATTAGTTGTTTGGATCTCCTATCTCTCTCCTCCACACTGGGAGGAGGGCACAGCAAGCAGTGGGTGGGTGCAATAGCCAGCCTGCTATTGGCTATTGCAATTTGAAATGGCCAATAGCAGGCTGGCTATTGCACCAGCCCACTACCTGCTATTTTTTCATTCAGCTGCCATCTGCAGAATCTTGCCACTGGCAGCTGTCATTCCTTGGATGAAGCTATTCAAGCGCCATGTGCTTACAATACAAAAAAAAAATTATAAAAGGTGGGAAAAAAGTCATTTTTGGTTTCGGCCTGACAAATTCTGCTGCGGGAGGTGCGTTGCAGTGCCATTCATATCAATGGCACCCCAAACGCACCGCCCATCTACAGTGTGATCGCCTGCACTGGAACGTACAGTACCGCAATGCTGTGCGTTCCAGTGTGGTTCGATTGCAAAAAATAGTGCATGCCGTTTTATTCTGAAGTAAACTTTGTAAGTCTCCATTTGTGTATTTCAGTTTAAGGATGGTATTTATGTAATTTTTTTATCAGATTAATCGAAAAAATAATTGCCCAACTAATCGATTATGAAAATAATCATTAGTTGCAGCCCTAAATTATTCCACGTTGTTTCATTTGATATTTCTTCATATACATACTTAAAAACCTGTGCTGGACAACTGGGTTTTCAAGTTCCTTTAAAAAGAACTGCTGTCCCAGCCCCTGTCATTGTCACACCGGCTGGACAGCTTGTTCTGGAAAAAAATAGAAATAACGGCACGTGGACAAGAAAATATGGAAAAGGGTGAGCAGTGCATGTTATAATAGCAGCTGTAGCCCTGCTTTGTTCTGACAGTGGATGACCTCTATTGATGGGAGGCATTTTGTGACAAAAGCTTTAATCCGAATGTAATATTTCATCCCGCGTTCTCTCCATCACATGTATGTCTGTAGGAGAAGCTGGACAAAGAGGCCCTGCAGGTGGAGGTGGCCAATCTTCGAGAGAATAACCAGCGGCTTCAGGCAGAATCGCACTCAGCCAGTGAGCAGCTGAGGAAATTCGCCAAAATCATTTCGACCACGGTGGAGAAAAAGGACCATTAACTCCTCTGTCTTTACTGAGGTGACCGGCCCTGCCACGGTGCCAGGGCGCTGACATAATGGTACATATTGGGCATTGCACTCTCCAGCTACGTGGGGCGCCTCTCCCTTGACATGTCCTGCAGTGCATTGTGGGGCTTCATTTTTATCATGGATGCAAGATTTTACACTTTGTCACTTTGTTTGTATCAACAACACATTTCTTTATGTACAGAAACATTTTTTTTCTTGCTTTGTAGATTTGTACAAACTACAACCCTGACGGGCGATTATAAAAGGAAAAAAAAAAAAAGTGGTATTTTTTGCCTCATTGCGTTCCCATAAAACACCTTGCATCAGGAATTATGCAAAACGTTCTCCCAGGCAAGGGCAATGCAAAACGCTGTACCGCAAACCTCCTGGAAAATGATGTTATATATGAATATATGTTTAAAGCTGTATAGGCAAATGTTATACGCGGAGGGGTAAAAAGGTGTCTGAATGAACAGTTAGGTTTCATACAAATTTATTTTAATATGACCCCAGTCTGACTGGGCGTGAGAGATTTCCATGTATATTTTGTTAATATGACATGTATATAGTAATCCATCTGTTTTGTTAATGGGGAAGAACTTGCCTGCATCTTGTTGATTTCCTTCTCAGCATTGTACATTTCTGTGTAACGTCGGAGTAAAGATATTATTTATACTTGAATTTTGGAATTTGCATTTGCCGCTGGCTTGTCTGTTGGTGAGAATAAGGCAAGCAGAAAAGTATTTTTCGATAATTGTGCGATATATATGAAAACGATACACTGCAAAATTGTTGACTGAAAAGAAAAATGTTTTTACCTTCCAATTCCCTCAGCTGGGAGTTTTCCATATTACAACCGCATTAAAGTGGAAGTTCACCTTACAATTCATCAGTGAACTTTAAACAGCCGTATAACACATGTGTCTTGAGGAATGTATAGCACCATGTCTGACTTCTGTCTGTTCTCTGGTTGTCTAGCCATCAGCATTGGGAAAATTGCCCTC